CCATCCCCCCAGCAACAACAACAACAAAAAAGAAGCCATTTCCTTTCCAGAAGCAGCCCTAAGAGAATCTTCACTACAGCCCAACCTTGCTGGCACTCTGATCCTGGTTGCAGCCTCCAGAATGTTAGGAAAATCAAAGTTTGTTGCTTAAGCCACTTATTCTAGGGTATTTTTGTTATCACAGCCCCATCTTCCAGGGCCCAGCACAGTAGCCTAGTGGCTAAAGTCTTAGCTTTGCAAGACTGCTCCATTTTCCATCCAGCTCCTTGCTTGCAGCCTGGGAAAGCAGTTGAGGATGGCCCAAAACCTTGGGACCCTGCACCCACCCATGTGGGAGACCTGGAAGAAGCTCCTGGCTTCAGATTGGCTTGGCTCCAGCTGTTGCTGCCTTTCGGGAGTGAACCAGCAGATCTTCCTCTCTGTAATGTCTGATTTTCCAATAAAAATAAATTCATCTTAAAAAAACAACAACAACAACAAAAAAACGAATCTTCCCCTCCTCTAGGTAGCTAAGAAAACGGCTGTGAATTTTCATCTTTAGAGCACTTCTCCCTCCTAATCTTTTTCATAAACTTGCTCAGTGCCCCGTACGTTTATCTGGAGAAGCAGAGTTCATCTTGCTCACATCACAGCCTCACCTGCCACAGGGCTTGGACCTTAGCACGCCCCCCTTGTTTGCAGTTCTTGTTAGGATGGTATGGAAAAACAAGACACCAAGATATGGAAGTAAAAGGCCGATCCCTCCCACAAGGCTCTGGAAGCAGCTGAGAAGTTAACTCGGAGGCAGGAGGTAGCTTTGCCCCACTTTCTCTCCAGCCTGGTTCATAGCCTCCCCCCTCCTTCTCTACCCAGCCGGAAAATCAGGAGCTGAAGAGGTGCAATCTTCATTTTACAGAGAAGAAATCTGACATTCAATGAGATGCTCAGGGTTGAGTGAACCAGGGGTAAAGTTGAATTTTCCTCTTCTGTTTCCCTTGTCCCAAAAGATGCTAGTGGCTAGCAGGACTGAGGTGTCCCCCCTGTCCTTGGGATTTCTGCACCGACCTCATCAGCTGCGCTGCAGCCCTGTTCGCTGTCTCAGAATGAGAACTCCTGAGTGAGCCTACAAGTAAGTCAATAGCCAAACTTCATTAGGGTTGCTGACTCTGACAGAATGTATCCCAAAAATTACTTTAAGAATCAGTATTTCCATTAGCTTTAAAAAATGTACCAACTGCCGTTAAATAGTATATAACCTCCAACTCCTACTATTCATGTTTTTCAAAATAACACTTTTTGCCAGAACAACCTCTAAAAAGTACCTGAAATTTTAAAAGAAATGACCCTTACTGCAACATCATTGACCAGGATGAGTTCTCAATTTTATTGTCTCTAGGACAACTCGTTATTCCACACTCAGGAGATGGCTTCCCAAAACAAACTTGTTCTTCTAAATAAAATTCTTCAATTTGGATCACTATGAAACAGAAGCACTTGCACTAGATTGCCCAGCATCCTATCCTTAGCTGTTCAAAATGGACAGAGGAGGCAGCCCGCTGGAGGACTGCTCTTCTGGTAACCGAGGAGTATTGGGCAAGATCGCTTACCTGTAAGACTGTACAATTGCTGTTGTTCCTGCACAGGAAGCACGCGTGGGCCCTTAGCTGCCAAAGTCACCTCGCTGCTCTAGATAAAATCTCTGCACATGCTCTCGGACCTAATCCGCAGGCCTCGCCCAGGCTAACCACTGAATTCCCCCTTAAGTATCTCGCCGCAAATCTTCTTACGTGTCCCTTGCACCCAACAATCCATTTTGTATCATTCTCAACCTTCACCTCATCCTTCCTTTTTCAGGTTACCAGCAAAGGGTTAACACCAAAAATATTTTTGTTAACTGTTTTGGGAATATTGGCACTCCACAAAAAAACAACTACAACAACAAAACCAAAAAACCACACATCTCTTTTAACCAAAGGAAAAATTGTGGGTGGAGCTGGATTATTAACATCCTCACGTGACTGAGTAAATGAGAGAAGACCCTCAGCCAGTCCTTCCGGCCAGCTAACAAGTCCCTAGGCAGTACTCAACCAAGAGTTAGCTCATCCTCCACCCAAGATTGCAGTCATGAGCATCGCTTGCCATCTGAGGGAGAACTGATTCAGGACACTAAAATTGTCAACTGCTCAAGTACTTTACATAAAATGGTGTGGCATTTGCACATAGCTAAGGCATATCTCACTGTATACTTTTAAAATCACTTCTTGATTACTTAGCTAATACCCTGTTGATATTTGAACTGTTGCAATGTTTAGGAAATAATGAAAACACTACACATTTAGGGCAGAAGCAACTTTTAAAGAACTATTTCTATCTGCCATTGGTTGAAGCTTACAGGTATGGAACCTGTAGGTAGAGAACCAACCATCTTAGCTGCTGTGAAAATTCTGTTGCAGGGCCTGGTCAGTGGGAAGCAGGCCATTTGGAAGCAGTTATCACAGAGTGTAAGACAAAGGGTACTGATGGCAATTTTCACAAGTTCATCAACTCCTTTATCCAGGATAAACAACAGGCTACATTTTCTGCTCTTCAGTAGATAAAAATACAATGGGAGTACCTGTCAGTGTTTTGTACATAGTGTATTTTATTAAAAAAAAATAATTCCAATGAAGTTTTCAGGTTTTTTTTAAAGGCTTCTATTTGAAAGGAGGATTTACAGAGAAGGGAAGAGAGATCTTCCATTCACGGGTTCTTTCTTCAAGTGGCCTGAACAGCTATAAATGAGCTATCCGAAGCAAGGAGCCAGGAGGCAGGAACTTTTCGTCTTCCATGTGGGTGAAAAGTATCCAGGCTTTGGGCCATCCTCTACTGCTTTCCCAGGCCATAAATAGGGAGCTGGATCAGGAGTGAAGCAGCTGGGACACAAACTAGTTCACACATGGGATGCCGGCACCACAGGTAGAGAATTACTTTGCAAAGCCACCTCACCAGCCCCTACTTTCACAATATTCAATGTATCACCCCTCTGAAAAATGACACCTCTGGGAGCTTTGGTATCAAAGAGCACTGGAATTAGAGTAGTAAAGCTCTCAGGTGCAGGTTCCGCCCTGGCAGTGCGCTAGTCACAGCACTCTTTTTCTGCAACATGGGAGGAACAGGGTTAGCGTCTGCCTCCCAGGCTGCCATGGGCATTCCTCCTGAGTGTGACACATCTGCAAAGTGGCAGCAGCATGCTGTGTGGCTCCCTTCACACTAAGCTTTGCTGAGACTTGGAAATGTGTCATTTTAATGCATGACCTGAAAAGCGTGAGTGTAGTGTGAAGGCTCTCCAAGAAGTAACTGGACAGTTTCACTGAGGACTCTAGCAAGAAGTCTCCACTAGGACTAACCGTCCACACAATAGCTAAATCCTCAACTTGCAAGCCGCAGGATCCCAAGAGGGGTGCTGGTGTGTGTCCCAGCTACTTCACTTTCCATCCAGCTCCCTGCTTATGGCCTGGGAAAGCTTGGGACCCTGCACCTGCATGGGAGACCCAGAAGCTCCTGGGTTCATGTTGGCTCAGCTTTTTGGCTTTTAGTGCCAAAAAGTGTTGAAATCCATGCATTTCTTATAATATGCATTTTCTATAGACTTGTGAAACAGCCCATCTCATGAATGGATTTCAATATTTTTACATAAAAATAAACATTTTTTACTTCCATTTCCAGGAAATTTTTTAAAAGATTTATTTATTTTTATTAAAAAGTCAGGTATACAGAGAGGAGGAGAGACAGAGAGGAAGATCTTCTGTCTGTTGATTCACTCCCCAAGCTGCCGCAATGGCTGGAGCTGAACCAATCCAAAGCCAGAGTCTGGAGCCTCTTCTTGGTCTCCCATGTGGGTGCTGGGTTCCAAGACTTTGGAACATCCTCAACTGCTTTCCCAGGCCATACGCAGGGAGCTGGATGGGAAGTGGGGCCACCAGGATTAGAACCAGCACCCATATGGGATCCTGATGTGTTCAAGGCAAGGACTTTAGCTGCTATGCTACCACGCCAGGCCGCAGGAACTTCTTTAAGTACCATTGTATTATCCCTCTCCGACCACTTTCCCCTGTCAAGTGACACAATTAGTAAACTTCACTTTACTGGTCAAATATGATACTTGAGTATTTGTTCAAAAAGTCCAAACAACTCCTAACAGAAACACAAGGCATTTTACAAAAGTTAAAAAATGGTCAGACTCCTTCTAACCACGCGCAAGCACGTTCTGGCAGGAAACAGCAGAAAGATCAAAAGGGCTCTGGAGGAACTACTACAGCCAAGAGATGGACTGGTAATAATCTAACCAGAATTACAAATTCTCATTTTCTCTCCCTGATTCTGTTTAAATGAGAGGGTGAGAAATAGCTATAGCAATCAAAGTAGGAATCACTCTGATAAAAGAATATATTTCCTGAAGACCCATGTTTTTGCATTGTTAAGATCAAAACACTGGGGCCTGGCATGGTAGCCGAGTGGCTAAAGTCCTCGCCTTGCATGAACTGGGATCTGACAGGGGAACCAGTTTGTATCCTGGCTCCACTTTCCTTCCAGCTCCCTGCTTGTGGCCTGGGAAAGCAGTCAAGAATGACCCCAAAGCCTTGGGACCCTGTACCCATAGGCAAGATTCAGAAGAAGTTCCTGGCTTCAGATTAGCTCAACTCCAGCTGTTGTGGCCACTTGAGGAGTGAACCAGCAGATGAAAGATTTTTCTTTCTCTTCTGCTCTATGTAAATCTGATTTTCCAATATAAATAAATACATCTTTAAATAACATCAGATCATGAATTTGTTCTATGCCAGAAAGATGCTATCAATCAGTTTATTTTAAAGCCAGGGAGAGGGAGGGAGGGAAGCAGAAACAGAAATTTTCTAATGTCCCATAGGGACTTTTGAGTCCAATACAGAGATGTCCGGATTCTGATGTGGATGAAAGAAATAGCGAGTATGCCTTTCCTTTAGCTTTGCAGGTGTCATTTTTTCTGCAGCCATAAAACAAGCTCATAAAGATGAACATCTTTTTTATTATGAAAACTGCTGTTACATGACAGCCTACATTCCGAAACAGTGTGTAACAAACACTTAGTTTGATTATAAAGTAGAGCTGAAACCATGATCCCTTCACAAACATGATGAATGTCTGCCGAGTCACTTCACAGAGATCAGGACCCGTGTCCGCTCAGCACGGTGTGGTGCCTAGCTGAGCCAAGCCGAGCTGAGCGAGAGCACCTATGTTATCTGGAACAGCTACTGGCGTTACTGGTACAGTGTAAACCAAGCAGTTAAAACAGGGCACGTTTAAAACAAATACACACAAAAAAGCCAAACTCTAAAATGTGGAGGTGCAATGCTTTTGAGATGTGGTAGCCAGAGCTGGCTTCGTCAGCCTGCAGGCGCGAGGTCCTCAGGCTCCTGCTGGAAGGCCACTGATGGCAGCCCTTGCACACGGACTCCTGAGCTCCCCCGGCAGCTGCCACTCAGTTTTTAGATTCCAGTGTATTCACTGTGTGTAGCACAGGGAGGAAAGTGAAGCCTCAATTCCTATGTTCTTTTTCACAGGAGACAGATGCCCACGACTTGAATGCATTCCACGGTTGGGGGTCAGGCTGGGAAGGTAGCTGTTGCTTAGACCCTCTTCCATTTAAATACCGTTGTGGAAAAGCTTAGAAAAAGTTAAAACTGCAGTTCACAAGTTCTTCTGTCCCCTTCCTCAGCAAAGCAGGATGCACACATGACACGTTGGGATTCAGGAAGGCAGAGTGTGGCCACTGTGAGTTCAAGTATAGGCTGGTCCTTGCAAAGGGCTCTGGGGTCACTGCAGATGGGTTCAGGCAAATCAGGAACTCAAAATACTCATCAATTGTTTAATGGAAGAAGTGAAGCTGGTAACTTTCCTTCTAACTCTGTGGAGCCGACATTTGCTGTTGCTTTCTCCAAATGCCAGGTGGCGTTATATTCTGGGAACTTACACGCGCCAAAGACTGGTTTAAATGGACTTCTACCTTCTTTTTCAATCCTTCCTTTTAAACCATATAGTCTTTTCTTCCCCCGCCCCCTGCGCTGTGGGCTCTGATTATTAGTAAGGCTCAGAAATGACAACCAAAACATCACAATGTCCTTTCCAAGTTCCACACTGTTCTTTGCTACAGCCAGAAGATGCCAGATGGTGCTATAGCACTCTGCAGTGGATAATCCGGATCTCAAGCTGTTGTGTGGCCTAGTTAAGCTTCTCACGCTGGATCTGGTAGTAACATGCCTGAGAAAAAGTTCAAAACAAGTTCAAGTTTATACTTAAGGGAATTGCATAAACAACAACACACGTGGAACCAGAGAAAGCCCACCCCTCATTAGTACCGAGGCCCAACAAATCCACTTGCCTTCACCACTCCCTGCTCTCTTCTAGTACTGGGCTCTCTCTCTGGGATGGCTACCTTTTTTTTGCCTCACTGTGTAATAAGCATAGATAAAATATTGTGCATTTTCCCACCAAGTCTCAAAGAAAATCCACCTCTTTTATTTGCTGCCTGATGTAATGTTTTCAGTACTTAAATTCCTTTAATTCACATCTTTCCTCCAAAATTACTAATGAGGTAGTCAATACTTTGCCTCACCTTGCATTAAATAATTCTTCTCTTTTTCTTTCATTTTTGATGTTTTTTTTTAATGTGAAATTTTCATTGTAATCCTGCCTATAAAGGGGTAATACCTTTTGTTTAGTTATCTGACTGTTCCCATAACAATCACCATACTTTGTTGGCTCAACTATTGTGATTTTGACAGTGTGTTACTAAGTGGCAGAGTGGGCGTATTCTTGCTCTCCCCATGCAATTCCTCCAAGGTGGAAAGTGGAAATGACCCCCAGACCGGAGAAACTTGTTGGCAACCTTTTGCTTACAATAAGCACAGGACAAGGCAAAGAGGACTTACAAATTGCCTTAATGTGTTTTACCTTTATTCTAATAGTTTTTGCTGTGGGTTGCACTGTGGACAGTAACTAGCTTTACATAAGTATAAGCCTTTGAAGCAATCTGAAAGGCCAACTGACAGGCCAAGTTAAGACAGTAAAGCACAACTGACTCAGCCAGCTTTTTTTGCTGCACTACCAGAGGTGGGGGACAACCAATTTGCAGGCCATGCAAGACACACAGAATAACTGGGTCTGGCCCCACCACAGGAAGAACTCAATAAATCTTTGAATCTAAAATTCAATATATTTAGAGCAGGCTCATTTTTAAGGTGACATTATTGCATGGAGAGTAATATAAATATGCAAATGAGCACTGGCAGAAATAAAGGCCTCCCCACCCATTTGAACTGTCACCCATGTGTACTCTAAAGGCACATACCATGTGCAATGAACTCTTGCATAGACGGAAGTGATTCATGGCAGCGCACACGGAAGAAAAGGAAGAACAGATTTTAAGATGAAAACTTATGAGGCGATGCCTGAGCTCACCTTCAGAGTGGTGAACATGATGCCCTGCTCTCCATGCTGAAGGTAGGGGTCCATCAGGTCCTCGATGAGGTGGACCTCGGAGCCCAAGTTCCTGATCCTGCCCCGAAGAGAAACAAGACATGCTCACCTGGGCATACGGCTGCTTTTATGGGATAGGGGAACAGTGAACAGCTCACGGAGAAGAGCAGTGCCACAACGGAATGGGTCCACAGAAGTGGGGGTTTTTTTTTTTCTAGCGGGAGAGGACAATCCCCTCATTGGTTTAGAAAAGCAAAGGGCAGACTCCTTGAGATGATGATTCACTACAAAGGACATCAGAGAGGGCGGCTCACCTGGCCCGCAGCACCACATACAAGAAAACAGGGAACAAGTCATCCATGGACCACAGGAAGTCCTCCTGGAGGGAAGCCAGGACACTCTGAGAGATCTCCTCAAATGTCTGCTGGATGACCTTGAGTTTGTCTGATGGGGTGAATGTCGTGCTATCATTGAAAAAGACGTGAAAGGTTATCCTCACATGGCTTCTTATTGAACTAATTTCTTATTCCTTGCTGACAACCCCCACTCCTGGGACCCTCATGCCTTGTAGTGGACTCCTGGGGTACTACAGCAAGACTGGAAGACTACCTCAGTGAAGCCCTCCAGCCCGTCCGTCCTACACCTGCAGCGCACAGGATGGAGCTGGACATTGCATATTACTTTAAGTATCTGGGCAGAACTTTACTTGCATAATACATGCTCTTTTCTGAATGAGTTTGTTCATTTCCATTTGGCTAAAGACAGGGTTATACAGATAAAATGCTTAGATGGGTCCCCTCCCAGAGCACTTCTGAAAACACAAGGGGAGGGCAGTGCGCTGGAGCAGCTCCTTCAGCTGTCTTGCTGGCATCACGAATCAGAGTGCCAGCTGGAGTCACAAAACTGGCTTCCGAGCCAGTTATTCCCCACCTGGGAAAGCATGTGAAGATGACTCAAGCACTTGGGCCCCTGCCACCCACCTGGGGGACCAGGATGGAGCTCCTGGTTCCTGGCCTCAGCGTGGCCAGCCCTGGCCATTGTGGTCATCTGAGGAGTGACCTAGAAGATGGGGATCTGTCTCTGCCTTTCAAATAAATAACTAAGTCTTTAAGAACAGCATTAAAAATGTGAAGGCAGGGCCGCTGGGAGGAAAGATAACCCAGATACCTCCAAGGAGCCTTTCTGCTGGTGCTGGGGGCTCTTAGAGCTTTGGCTGAGGCTAAGATTTTACTAATATCTTAATAGATTAACCTCTTGTGATTTGTGTGATTTTTCTACACCAGGGGATTACCTGATCTGCTGCAGACACTCTACTGCCGAGGCGAAACAAGCATCTTTTGTGGTTGGCAGAACCTGCAGAAAGAGCAGTCAGAGAGGAACACTGGCTTTTGTAAGAACAAGGAAAGCAACAACACAGACGCAGAGGGCTGGTCTTCAGGGCATAACTGACGCCAGCACAAGCTGGGGCTCAGCTGCCGGATCAAAACGGGAGCTGCTGCTATCAAACCCTTCACTCCAAAGGGAAGCAGAGTTGCCGAGGGGACAAAGCGCTACTATACCTTTTTACTCTCTCCAAGGACTGACAAAGTCGCTGGCCAAAATTTCCTGCAATGGAATCCATAAATTGTTCATGTAAATTGTGATATGCGGTAGATAAATCCTCATAAAAATAACACAGCTGAATGGGCTTCCCTGACCCCATTAAGCATAACTGTTCCACAGAGAAGCAAAATTTTAATAAACATCTCAGACACAATCTAAGAGTTCTGCCATATTCCTATGGGATTTCTCATTCTACATACATCTGCACCACAGAGCTAAGCAAATGTTGCCCAAAAAGGCTGGCTAGAAGAAGTTTCACCTCATTTTTATTATTAAGTTATTCTTCTAAAAAAAAAAAAAAAAAAAAAAGTACCTTCCAGTTAAGGCTTATTTACTTTTTTCTGATAGCATAACAACTAAGCAGTGGGGAAGGGGAGGTTAAGCTTTATCAGCACACAGGAAGGCAAGCACAACCAGCTAGCGTTCTCCTGAAACAAGGGGGAGGAACCTGTGTCTCCGCCAAAGCCCTTGGGATAACGCAACACTAGCCATGAGTCAAACAAAATCATCAACTTCAAAATTAGCCTGCGTTGGAAGATTGGATAAGAAAGCTTTGGTTCATCTACTCCATGGAATACTACTCAGCTATTAAAAAAAACAAAATGCAGTTCTTTGTGGCTAAATGGGCCCAACTGGAAACTATAATGCTAAGGGAAATGAGCGAATCCCAAAAGGTTAGATACCACATGTTTGCCTTGATTTAACTTGTAATTTTTGTTTGGTTGTTGGTTATTTTTTGAACCTGTCATTGACACTGTCTCAACCCAGATGTTTCGAAGAATGGAACTTGCATTATTTTTAACATATTGTTTACCCAATACTATGTCAATTAATTCCATAATGTTGTATATTGATACTGAGGTTTTGTTGGGGCTTTTAACTGACCAGATCTTTACTCTGTTAGCCCTATCTTCAGACTAGAGAAGGTCTCCCCAAGAGGCCACTGAACTTATCTGGACAATAAGACGCTGGACTTTATGCTAGATATGTGTTTGCAAGGAACGAATCTCAACTGAACTTGAACTGTGGTTATGCAACAAGGTGGAGGAATCCACCATGGGGGGAGGGGTATGGGAGGGGTGGGGAGAATCCCCAGTGCCTATAAAACTGTATCACATAATACAATGTTAACAACAATAAAAAAAAAAATTAGCCTGCTTTGATTAATTGAATTTCAAGTCCCACTTGCAGTTGCCTTGGCAGGACCAGATCCAATGATTTCATGGGCTTCATCTGGCCCCACAGACTGGATGCTCCCCACATCTGTCCTTAATAGCAAGAAATAGTGTCTCATGATAAAAATAACACTTCTAACATTTCTAATTACAAAAGGTGCAGATGAGATGGCGGATGAGAAGGCAGAATACCCAAGATTAAATGTAACCTTTTTTTCTGTGGAGGAACATGAACATAAAATCTTTATTCTGCTTAAAATACAGCAATATAATTTATACATATAAGAAATGTAAAACAGCAGGCAATACTGTGGCTCATGTTAAATTTATATTTAAACATAAAAAGCCCATTCAGAGGGACGGGCAGGTTTCATCTCAGTCTCCAGAATCCCAGCTGCACAGAACGTGAAACAGCACCACTTTGCTCAACAGGACAGGTGAGTCCGGCAAGGCAAGTCACACACAGAACGTGGTAACAAAGAGAGCCCCATTGCTCATCACGCTGTCTGCATGCTAAATCTGATCACGTGGCTTTGTTCACCACCACCATGCTTACCTCTGCACCCCGAGGAAGCCCAGGAGGGCAATGTCTGGCTGCTTGTTTAGTCGCAGGACACACTCCCAATAAATGTCTTCCTCGCGGTCGTTATCCAAAGCATAGAGCATGAAGAGTGGCGGGTAGAGCCGGGGCAGCAGAACGGGCAGTACCAACCCAGAACTTGTGACCACGTACCTGCAAACGACCGGTGTGGGAGAGGAGGCCCAGGCACACTAAAGCTGAGCCCCGGATCAGACATAGTGCCTTGGCTTCTCAAAGTCAGAGATGCAGGGTGGGGTGGGAAATGACACTCTGCCTACAGAGGAAGCATGACTCTGGGGTTTTCCCTTCAGCCAACTGTGAAGCCTTTTCATCCATTCGACATCTAAGACCCACTTCGTATTCACCTCCCGGCGGCTCTTCCAGGTCAGCAGCATGCTGTCTGCTTGGCAGCTGCTTGACCCAGACCTCTTCCCTGCGGGTTTGGCTAGCATGGGTCACCTGTTCTAACTGAGCCTCTTTGGAAATAAACACACTGAGAGCTAGAGAAAACAACTTCTCCATGGGACCTGGGATGAGATGCTCCTATTCTCACCCTCCTCCTTCACCTCCCTCTCTGCTCCCCAAAACTCCACTCACCCTGGCTCTGGTGACTCAGGTCTGGAGTCTGATCTCCCGGTGCAGAAGGATTTCCGTTCAGTAGGCAGAGGGGCTGAGAGAGGAATTGTGCTGCCCTCTTCAGGCAGCTCAGGGAATAAGAACCTGCGGAATCATAGAAAAATAGAATTAGACCCAACATGCCCCTGCAGTGGCTGCAGCAAGAATAAAAACCCATTCTCATGAGTTAACTCATTTAAGGATCAATACGAGAAAACTATACCAAACAGTGTTTTAGTTTCCTGAGACTCTTATCCTTCTTACAGGATAGAATTAACAATGTAGCAAATAGATAATATTACTCAATGATCCATGTGTTGCAATCTCTTTCCTTCAAGCTATACTAAGAATGGAAACCTCTGATCTCTATTTACATGTATTTCTTACTGGAAACACTCACTTCAGGTCAATCTGCATTACCTGTGAGCAGAGGCCATTACTCTCAGAAGATAGGCAAACTACCTAAATGTCCGATATTAAGTTGCAGAATACTCAAACAAAGTAAAATTTAAAATTTCTACACAGGCCTAAGTTGCTGAAAATGAGCTCTTTGAATGTCCAGTGTTAATGTGTTGTGTTTAAATGCCCAGGGCTAAAGTGTTGAGAGCTTCTTTCCCCCTAGTCTTGCATTTTTACTGTAGATTTTACTCTGACTTCATATATGCTGTTGGGTTATTACAAATGTGTAGATTTACACTTAAATTTTAACCCTTTAAATGTGCCTTGCATCTTCTCTATTTTTGCACACCTTACACTCCCTCTGCCCTAACGGTTGGGATAACAAAGAGGTCAGGACATTCATGTTCATTATACACATCTAATGTCAGAGCTGAAACATGCCCAGCCCAGTGACCTTTCCACTTCTCCCTCAAACCCCAAAGCCATTCCAAATGTGTTTATCAATTCTGAAACTGAAAATGTAAGGATATTTTTGGGACAAATCTATAACCAGCTCAATATGGCATGTTGGCTTAAACCCAGTAAGAGATCTTGCAGCAAGATCAAACCAACTCAAATGTGCCAGCTACTTGGAACTGTCCCTTCCCCAAGATGCTAGCTAATTCCTTTAGCTGCCCTCTTCAAAGTCTCTGCTCTGACAGCCCCTTACTGGTCAGGTTTCCCTGACCTTCTAAAGCAATAGCATCTTACCTGCAGCTCCATCCTGTCACACTATCACCATCTAGCATACATTCTATCTGTTTGCTCTTTCCCTCACTGGAATGCACACCCCGTGAAAGCACAGGCTGTTTGGTGTTTTGTTTTTTCTGGGGAGAGATGAGGTTTTGTTACTAGATAAACCCCTGTAGGGCTAGAATGGTGACTAGCACATGAACGTGTTGTCTTTATTGAACACATATGTATGATACTGTCGTCAAAGGACATGACTTTAAAACTCAAGCGTAACACCTTGCATTGAACATTGTGTACTCTGCTGTTACGTTTCAGAGATATGATTTTAACCTACAGATTAAACTAAAAAAAAAAAATTATATATTTCATACCAAAATTATAAAGAAACTTTTTTTTTAAAAAAAAAAGATCTATTTATGCAGAGAGAAGGAGAGACAGAAGAGAGAGAATCTTCCAACCACTGATTCGTTTCGCAAATGATTGCAACTGCTGGAGCTGGGCTAGTCCAAAGCCAAGAGCCAGGAACCTCCTCCCTTCAGGTTTCCCATGTGGGTAATCTGGACTCAAACCATCCTCTGCTGCTCTCGTAGGCCATAAGCAGAAAGCTGGATTGGAAGCAGAGCCTCCTAGGACTCGAACTGGTATCATATGGAATGCTGTGGCCATAGGTGGAGGCTTAGCCTGCTACATCAGCAACAATTGGGCCCAGAATTCAACACTTTAACCTCTGTTACACTTAATCAGTAAGAAAGTTACAGAAGGAAAAATCAAACAGTAACTAAGGTTCAGCTTTTTAAAGTTTAGGACAAAAGTATAAATTGGAGACATATTTTCATTAATGTCCAAGGATCAGTGACAGAAAATCATTTTCTGCATGAACATTTTCTGTGATGAAGAGGAACACTTATAATTACTCACAAAGTTTCAGTCTAGTTTCTGAGTGACGACAGCCAAGCATTTGCATAAGCAGTGGTCCACGGCTTGTGGATGCTGAGGAAGAGATCTCTTACCTCACCAGCTGGAAAATTCGCTTAAGGTAGGACTTGATCTCTTTCACAGCCTCTTGCAATAACCGGCGGTTGGCTCCCACACCCACGTAGGTCATTCTGTACACGGCGACCAGGGTCTCCACGAGCCTGCCCAGGGGGTGCAGAGGAGTGTCACAGGCCTGAGCAGGGGGAGGCAAGGAAGTCAGTCCATGTGCCTTAGCAGCAGACACAGCCAGTTGATTTGTGACTAATGATTTCATGAACGATATACATTTTTCAAAATTTCAGGAGTCAATGTTTCAGATCAGGAAAATTCAAATATAGTTGTTTAATGTTGCTGAGAATGTGTAGTCTACTTAAATCAAATGGAGTTGGAGTTCCTCATATTCTTAAAGAATTATTTTAACAATTTAGGAACACAGCTGCAAGAAGCACTGCAATGAGACACCATTCAAAGAAACATTATCATCTGCCTTAAAGTTCACAAAAATCATACAGAATGTGAAGGAAGCACTTCTGCTTCCTTGACTTCTCCCAATACTCCTTCCTGCGCACCCCCTACCCCTGCACCATCAATGTAAGTCGTATTTCCCATTGTAGTTCATCTTACAGGGTTAACAAAGCAAATGGTATTTTCAAGGGGTAAGGGCAGCCTGCTTTAATTTTACAATCTCCAATTTGCTAATATTCCTAACAAAAATCCATTTTAAACTGATCTTAACTCTCAAAAACCTCTTGACCCTATGAAACTTCCAAAGTTCCATCCTACAATGGAACAATCTTCATCCAGAACTGTGATCTTGTAAGAGGATTAACAACAACACCATCATCAACAACAAAGCGAAGGGAAACATTCAGTTCCAGGTTGACCTGAGTGATCTACTGGGACAGTCGCCTTACTGATTCAAAAGACCAATGTACCTTTATTGGCTTACCTTGATTAAATATTTCTTGATGTCCTCATATTTCTCCACGGAGAAGGCGCCAACATGCTGTGGAATGAATTCCAAACTCTCTAGTGTCTGCGTCTGTGAGCGACTTAGTATTTCAGGACTACAAAAAGGAAGAGGAAGCCTGTTACATTCTTTACTTCAAGAAAGCAAGGTAATTACAAATACATACACGACACAGTCACCAGCCAAGGATGGAGTGTGGCACCTGGCACAGAATGGGCCCAGATAAGCTCATACATGGTAACAGACTTGCTGTGAGGTGCCCAGTTTACGTGTCAATCTAAATCACAGTGCTAGAAAGTACTGTAAGAACGGCTTGAAGAAGAAACTGGTGACTAGAGAATGAAAGGACAAGAAGAACACATCAAAGGGCATGGGAAGAAAGGAAAATGAGCTCAGGAAGCAAGGACTTGACGAGGACACTCCACCATAGGTGAAGTGAAGCTTTGGACCAAGAGATGAAGATAAACACACACCAGTAACATTGAGCAGCAGAAATTTTTGTTAACTTTACACAACAACTGATTGGAAGTGTAAAACAGTATGTAACCATTACTACTATGTTGGGTTAAAAAAAAATGAGGTGTTTGTGGTAGCAACACAGTTCATATAAAAGTCTGTTCATTCTCACTTCTTAGAAATATCCTACAATAGTTAACCAAGGGCTAAAGTGTTAAGGCCTACGCTCACGAGCTACCAGAGTGCACTGATCATGAGCACCACATCCAGCAGACTCTAACTGAATCTGGAAGAGTTCACTTTGTCCATGGAAAGAACGAACAGAAGTAACAATCATGGATTTCATGAGTGAATACTATTATCTATTCATATTTATCTCAAATATAGGGGGAAAACACCTCTTTTCATATTTAGTTTTTAAAAACAAACAGAATTAGTAAAGGGACATTATGGTTTACTTGGTGTATTTGATTGGATGGAATCTAGACTAATCTCTCTTGAGCAGAATAACAACTGTTTGTCATACTTGACTGTGAGGCATTTAAAGTTCCTAAAATATTTCCCCAATTCTACAGTTTCTATGCAATTGTATGAGGCTTTAGTATATCAAAATTATTCCAAAATTAGGAATTTATTCAAAAAATCTGATAACATTCAGGAAATGAGAACACTGATTAAATGTTTAGAATAAATACTTATAGTCTGAAGAAACTCCTAACTGCTGAGTTTTTCTTTCCTCAATTCCTGAGTACTGGAAAGTCACTGATATATGTGAATGAAAGCCAGCACAGAACTGATTTGAAAAGCAAAGGTATGCAGTTACACATAAGATCGAAGTAAGCCCTCAGCTATCTTAACAATAAAGACATAACTCAAATAGACCATTATCTAGAATTATCTTTAAAGTTTTAGTTAAGAAATTTGCCTTCAAGGAGTAGTAAGATCTTTAGGGTGTAAACGTTAAGCAATGCTTATGGCAGCTCCAAGAAAAAGGAAATCTGGGGAAAGACAGATGACAGAAAAAAAAAAGAAAAGAAAAGAAAAAAGGAAAGTTGGTGAGAAGGAGAAAATAAGAAAGAGAGAAAATTACAACTGCAATGTTTCTTTTGCCATTTAAAAATGCTGTGCCACTTCCACCTGGCCTGCAAGGTTTCTTGTGGGAAATATGCGGTGATGAAAGTAACTCTCCCACGCCTTGCATCACTGTTTTTCAGCTTCTTTCAGGATGTACCATTGAATTTCAATGTAGTGCAGATACACACAAGTAACTCCATTTCTCTTTCCCAGGATGGGGTTTGCTCAGCTTTTTTTCTTTTTTATTAAATTTATTTTATTGAAAAGGCAGAGTTAAAAAGAGGAGGGGACAGAGAGGGAGTGAATTTCCATCCACTGGTTCACTCCCCAAATGACTGCAGGTGGTCAGAGCTGAAGTGATCTGATGCCAGGAACCTCGTCCAGGTCTCCCATGTGTGTGCAGGCACCAAGGACTTGAGCTTTCTTCCACTGCTGTCCCAGGCCATGACAAGAAGCTGGATTTAAAGTGGATCAGCCAGGATACAAACTGGTGCCCATGTGAGATGCTGGCATCATAGGAAGAGGCTTGGTCTACTACACCATGGAGCTGGGCCTCACGCTCAGATTCTTAAACCTTATAATTTCATGTCAACCACGATTTCTTAAAAAAATGTTCCACCCTACATACTTTTTCCTCTTTTTCTGTAAGTCTTACGATACAAACACAGATCTACAAGTTCTTTAGGTTGTATTCCTTTTTTTCATGCTTTTCCTTTCTGTTGTTTAGACTGATAACTTCTATTGACATATTTTGAAGTTCACCGACTTCCCATTGCTATCTACCTGCTGTTAAGTTCATAGAAAGCATTATTCCTGTTATTTTCAACTCTTAAATTTCAATTTGACTCTTCCTTATATCTTCTATTTCTGTCAGTTTAGCATCTGTTACAAGGGCATTTGAGATTGCTGATCTGAGCATTTTGATAGCTCCTATGAGCATCTCTGGCATTTCACCATTGATGTCTGTTGACTGTGTTCCTCCAAATGGGGTTTTTCAAGGCTCTTTGTTTGCTGAGTAATTTTCACTGATATCTTGAACATATTAAATATTATGCGACTTCTGGTCTTATATGCTTCCTATGCAAACCAGTGACATAGCAGGTCTGAGTTGTTATCTTCGGCAGACATTACTCTGAAAGCTGACCCTTGGCTGGTGCCTGGGAACTAAGCTTGCTGAAAGCTCCCTATGCTGATAGGAAACATCCCCTAACTGATAAGGATGCTTTGTTGCTTATAGATGGCATAAACAATGTGATTTATGGTGAACATCTGCTTTCCTTCTCAGCTGTGTTCTTTCTAAAATTTATTTTACTTATTTGAGAGGCAGAAAAACAGAGACAGAACTCCCACTTGCTGACTCCCACTCCCCGAAAAACCTGCAACAGCAAGAAAGGGGAAGGCTAGGGGGTAAAGCTTGGCGCCGGAAACAAATGAGGTTTCTATATGGATGGCAGGAAGCACAGTATTTGAGCCATTACCATTACTTCTCTGGGTTCATATTAGCAGGAAGCTGGAGTCATAAGCCAGGACCAGGAATCCAACCCAGGTACTGTAATGTGAGTATAGGTACCCCAAATAGTTTTAACTACTAAGCATGCTGGAGTGAGCCCAGAAATATCCTCCCAGAGCCTCTCTGTCTCCATTATCTTCCACATTCTCAAATGCCTCTTTTAGGTCTGTCAGCCAGAAACCACCCACATTAGGGCCAAGGGATAGGAAAGGACATTATGGCCAAAAAAGCAGTGGCTCAGCCTCTTGCACTTGAGCATCCAGTCAAGGGGAAAAGAGACGCCACTCCCTTTAAAGTTTTGGCTCTCGCAAGCTTCCAGTTCATGGCTGCTCTAGCCACAGCCATCACAGAAGTACCTGTAAGTAAGGGCATGCAGGAAGAGGGGAGAAGGCAGAGAAGAAAAATCAAGTGGATATTCTATTCTCAGCTCTCAGTTTTAGGAGTTCTTGTCTCACTCTTTGAGCCAGAATCACAGGAGGGTTTCTTCCAGAATTCTGTCGCCTGTCACAGTGGTTTCTTTCAGGCTTCGAACTACAGTGAATTAGTACGAAGAATATTAGAGCAAAAACCACATTGGTTTGGTGATATTTTACATTCAGGTGTTCTTCAATCCACCTACTAGCAATTTTGAGAGTTTACGAATAGCTGATCATGTGTTCTGTTCAGGTTTAATCGCTGAGCTCAATAGAAGACAAAGGAAGTGTGTTTTATTCCACCTGGTCCAGCAGCAGCAGAACATCATTAATGCTGACATTAAAACATATGTTTAAGTTAAACATAGTGAGCCTTGATGACTCACTGATTGTTTGTTTCATCTCCTTAACACGTGCTGGGCCAGGCAGGCCTTCACTCACCTGTCTCGATGTTGACGCCGACTGGTGGTCAAGGCCACAGCAATGTTTTCCCATGCTTTCCAAACCTCCCCTTGTCCAGGACTCTCACAGCCCAGCTGGTGCCAACATTCATTAAACACTGCTTTCCACTTCTCATCAGCCTGCACTGCCAGGTTGCCCAGTTTCCTGCTAATAGATCATTTAACTTTTCATTAATTAACTTTTGGGAAAAGTCACTCTGAAGAACAGAAACTTTCTAATATATAACTGAAGATATTTCTGTGACCAGAATCGCCTAGACTGATAGCAATTCTATTTTTAAAACAAGTGCAAATTTCAAAGAATGGTTTTTGGCACACTAACGATGACTGGATTCTAACATGTATTGGATTGTTTTAAGTATGAAGTACACTGGAATTGACTCCTCTGCTTTCTATATTTCCATAGAATTGATTTTGTAAAATTAATTGCTGTTAAAGCAGAACTTTCTGTACTTTGTACATCTCCTAATAGGAACTGTGACATGCATTACCTATTGGGTTCTAAAAATAAGAACAAACATGGTGCAGAAAATATATCAAAGAACACAGAACCTGAAATGCCACTAAAATATGAAAACAAGGCTACAACTGTCATCTGAAAGGGAAAATGGCAGGACAAAACGGGGACAAGCGTAACACACTCAAACGCTGTCTTTTCCTCCCATTTATGCAGACTGCACAATTCCACCTGGTATGCTTGGGTATCTAGGTTTGACCTCTACTTTTCAAAACCAAGAATGTAGAGATTCTACTGAAGAATGCTTTCATTTGGCTTGGTCACCTGCACCTTTAACACAGGATTACCCTCACACACAGAGCTTTTATTTCAAACATCCGGGCTCTAAGATCTATAATTTAAGCATGATGATAGATTTAGCTCTTCTCAGCAGTGTCAGCTGACAATTCAAGGAGGTTACACCTTGCTAAAACACACACACACACACACACATGCCTTAAAAACATAACTTTGCTTTTAAAATATTAACTAGACATGATAAAATCAACACAACTCAAAACATCCAATAATTCATCCAGAATTAGTGTCTATTACTCACAATACTTGTGGTCTGTCTTTATCACTCTCATAAAGACTAGGTTTGAAATAGGTTCCAGTGATTTTGATCCCAGATCCCCATTCTCCATTAAAATAACCTTCAATGTAATCTCCATGTGGCATGGTCAGGGTTCCCTGGGTAAAGTTGGAAATAAAAAAAAAAATACAGAGTTTGAGCTTTTTTTTCAAACGAAAAACTCAGAGAAAATATATTGTTAATGTTTCCTTTTGAACTTGCTATTTCCTTTAAAAAGCAGACAAAAAACATGTGTACATGCATGTCCCAAAAAGAATGTATGAAAAAAATTCATGCATAAAATTAAAAAAAATATATTAGAAAAACTACCATATGAAGCTAGGAAAAGAACAAACTAAATACAAGCCAAAGAAGAAATATTACACTACAATTAGAGCAGAAATCAGTAAGACAGAAACAAAATTTTGAGAGAAAAAAAAAAATGATTCCAAAAGACGTGTCGTTGGATATACCTTTACAATTTGATACTAGATTTTCTACCTTTGCCTATACCTATAATGCCATAATACACTTGGCAGAATGTTGGACTGTGACTTTTGCTGAGATACTACTGTAATAATATGGGGGTTTTGGAGAATGGGAGAGGAGGAAAAGAAAAGGGAGGGGAAACTCCCTATATCTACAAAACCATACTATAGAAAATAATTTTTAAAATTTCAAAAAAGAAAAGACATACAAAACTGACAGATTTTTAATGAGACAGAGCAAAACTTTTTTTTTTCCAAGAGAAGCTGTACATTTACAAAACCAAGAGTGAAATAAGATATTGTTGCCATCCACACAGCAAAGGTTAGAAGGTGTTATGACTTGAATGTGGGTCCTCTCCCAAGTTCATGTTGCAACCTATTGTGTTGGTATTAAGAGGTGGGGCTTTTGAGGAAAGTGACTCAATCACAGATGATTAAGACACTGAATGCAGTGCCTCAATCTCTGACTTCCCAGCTCCACAAGAGGAAATAAATTTCCTGGCTTTGGTATTTTGTTAAAGTAGCACTAAGAAGCAAATACGAAGAAAACAATTTTATGCCAACAAATCGTGTAATTTTAAATAAAACAGAAGAAATTGTTAGGAATCATATATTACCAAAACTGATTCAAGAAGAAGTGGAAAATCCAAATAAATGGAACTAGGAATTTAAAATCTTCTCCCAAAGTAATTCTCAGGGGCCTGGTGAGTTCTCACAAACATTCCTAGAAGAAACAACAAGGCTCCCAAACTCTCAAAAAGCTAAGGAGGGGGAACCCCTTCCCCGGTCATGCAGTGAGGACATGTCACCCTGCAGTGAAAGGGCCAGGTGTAAGCAGCCCCACGGAAGAGACCACAGGGCCGCTTCCATCTCCATGAAAGGTCCAGGCGAGGTATTTCCAAAGGGTGGGACAGTCCATAAGTGGTCGCAAGAGTAACTGTGAGTGGGTAGGAGAACTCTTCCCGGGGATAGAAATATTCTATAACTGGATTAAAGTGCTGGTTGTAAAACTCTACACATTTATTGAAAATCACTGAAATGGACACATTAAACTGGTGAATTTTTATGGTATCTAAATAAGCTTTTATAAAGTAAAAACAAACAAACGAACAAACAAACGAACAAACAAACTAACAACAAACCAAGGACTAAAGTAGAGGAGACAAGGAAGAAAGCTGGTTTCCAACCTTTCCATTGAGAGTCCAATCATCAGAGAATTCTCCCTCATAGATGGTATCATCTTCAGAAAGTAAGACCCCATTTCCCTGTGATACAAAACAAAACAGAAATTCCTGAAGCTGCATGCAATCTTAGAAGGAAACAAATAAGTAAGAAGGTAGAATGTTAATAAACATTTATTTCAGAAGTTAAGGACACATGAGCTTCCCAAAGTCGGGAATAACCGCCCGCAGACACTCCACTCACCATCATCTTATTAAGATGGAAGTTGCCTTCATAGTATAGTCCAAACTGGGTAACCACCACACCATTCCCTTGACAGACATCATCTTGCCACATTCCCATATACTTCTCCCCCCTGCACAGAAATGAAAAGAAAAACTAAGAGGGGAAACAACAATTACTACCTGGAGTGCCCAGGCATCAGCTCAAGGCTGAAACTGGCTCCATTTTTCTGGCTAAAACAGTTCACTCTAGCTCTTCAGCCACAGGACAATATGACAGCAAAAGATTATTCCTCAGAGTAATGATCTCTCCAGAATTTAGTGCAGTAAATATTTCCATAACAACCTTAAAGTACAGACTTTTTTCAAATGCCAAGAACTCAACTCTAAATAATTTCAATAGCAATTTAACAGGCAGAATAAATCTGCGTACAATTTTATTCTTACCCCCAAATTTGCCTAAATTATGGGTGGGTGTTTGGCATAGAGGTGCTTCGAGCACCCTCATTCCATATCAGCTCTAGCTCTACGCTGCTAGCTTCCTGCTAATGCAACCCAGGGAAGTAACAGGTGATGGTTCAAGAAGTTGGGTCTCTGCTACCCATGTGGGAGACCCACATGGAGTTTCTGGCCCGAGGAAACTGAGTAACGAATCAGCGGATGAGAGCACTCTCATCTTTCTTGCCTTGCAATAAAAAAAAGAAAAATGAAAAATTACTGTCAAGTTTTGCTACATAAAAGAGAAAAAGGAATGGGGCTTGTCATAAGAGAAGGCTTATTTTTCACCTATTTAAGCCCAGAAAAATCTTACTAATCTCCACTAAGAGGATAAGATAGGTAAAAATAACTTGTAAAGTAATCATAGAATTTAGTAGCAACATCAAACATTTTCTTAAATTCCACATTATGAAAACTGTGGTGTTCAGAAACATGAAGGAACTACATTCCTCCCAAGGTGTAGATAACTAGTCTTGCTATCTGGGTTGCTGGCATAAACACATTGGTTCCTACGTACCTTCCATTCTCATCTTCCAGTAAGTGTATTACAGGTATGTCTTTATATAATAAAGATTTAGCACCTTCACTGAGACAATAAAGCTTTAAGTGTTTGATATTTGAAGGAAAATGGTTCCGAGGCTAATTTTGAATGCAGATTTCATAAAGAAATAATGTAATGCTGGCTCCACAAGAAAACGGATGGAAAGATATCTAACAACTTTGTTCCTTATGAAATTTTTTTCTAATACTGTCAAATTAAGTTGTCCGGTCTTCAAATAATTATCATGTTTAAGAATATTATCCTCTGTCACAAGAAACTGAGATTAGAAACAGAATGCTATACCTGGTGATATCATCAAAGACACCATATCCGGCTTTCTTATCCATCACCCACTGGCCAATGAACATACTAGGAGAAGAGGAAGTCAATTTTCCACTTCGTAGGAGACCATGACCATGACGCATATTATCTTGAAAACAGCCTTCAAACACTTCACCAGAGGCATAACTGTGGTTGCAAAGAATGGATAAGGATCACACGCATATCAAATTTTGTGCTCAGTTCCACATGGTTTAGGAAATCTGAAACAATACTCAAGTCTCAAGGGCAACTATATTTATCTATTTCAAGGGACTTTGCAATAAAAATAAACAAATTTTTTTTTAAAATCTCTCTTTTCAATTACTGAGGGTCAGGTAAAGACATCACAGGTGGTATTTCACATTAACATGGACCAAAAAAGCATGTTTCATCTCTTATGGGAAAACATAATAATAAGTTATTAATGAGAATGAAGAATTAAAAGTGTTGTCCAAATTAGAGTTGAATAGTAAAAACAAAAATGTTACACACAGGACATGCAGGACACTCATAAAAGTCATGGTATATATAAGTAACAAGAACTAAATTTAGTAACCTCGTATTCTTACCATGTGATACATGAGAAGTTGGTCTTTAAGTAAAGACCTTATTCAGAATTTCAGACATTAGAAAAGTAATAAAATTTACTCCTTGGAAATTCTGACTCTACAGACATTTAGGCACACGGGTTCTTCAAGAAAGCAACACAAGGCACAGCCACTGGCCTAGTGACTAAGATATCTCTTAGGAAGCCTGTATCCTATGTCAGAGTGTTTTGGTTCAAGTCCTAGCTCCATCCCACCTTTCTGTCAATATGTACCCTGGACACAGTAGATGGTGGCTCAGGTACTTGGGTCCCCACTACCAACATGAGAGATGCAGAGTTCCGAGTGCCTAGCTTTGGGCTGTTTCGAGGAGTGAACCAGCAGGTGGAAGATCTCTCTCTCTCTCTCTATGCCTTCTCAAATAAATAAAAACTTACAGATATTTTTAGGTGGTATTAAACAAGAAAAAGTAGCACCAGTTTAGCAAGCTTTCAGTTGTTATTACCTGTAGACTCCTTGACCACACATTTTTCCTTCTTTCCAATAACCCACATAATGGTCTTCTTTGTTCAGAGCCTTGTGTGGTATTTTGTACTCACCATACCTACCAAGAAAAGCAAAAAAATCACCAGGAGCTGCATTTATGACACCTTAATCTTCTGTATGCATAGATCAGCAAGCATTTTAAGAGGGAGGGCAGAGGGCAAAGAGTCTTGATTTTAACTGTACCTAACTACCTAAGCTGGCTGGCCAGTCTCAGGCACACACAACATCAACCCAAATGCTGAGAGATTAGATGTTTATCTCATGTCCAGTGAAAACAGAAGGCCTATGTCCTGGGCCTATCTCTGTTACTAATGAGATGCATCACTTTGGATAACTCTAGGTATCCAGATCCCTTATCTGAAAGAGGTTAAAGTAAGATTATCTAAAATTCTAAAAACAGATTAAAAGACATCCAAGAAACATACATTATCACATATGCACACAAAATCACCTATTCAGTTTATACAATATATTACTACACAATGTATACAAATACATTGTTTACAAACAACATGGATACTAATATATTACAAGTATATAAATATATTACAAGTATACAATTATACAGTATATGCAAAATAAAAATTTTTACATGACACAAAATATTCATCACACAAGTTTCTCATTTGATTATCTTTAGCATCAGTAAATAGGGTTAGCTTACTCAAAATAATGTCATCAAAACACCCACTGGGATAACAGATCATTAAGAGGGTTTCCCCTTTAACATATCCTAGAAATTCTGGATAATCTTAAACTACTGAAAGGAGAATTTCTCTAAGTGTTTTCAGTAAAGGGAGCAACATTGTCTCAAAAGCCTCCTCATAATAGCGTCCAGGGCCTCACGACTGATAAGCAGACTTTAGAAAGCAGTCCCAGGCTGGTACAGCACATTAGGCTAAGGCCTGTAATGTCAGCATATCATATGAGCTCTGGAGGCCCAGCTGCTCCACTTCCAATACAGCTCCCTGATAATGAGCCTGGGAAAGCAACAGAAAATGACCAGAGAGCTGAGCCCCTGCCACACACGGGAAACCTGGAGAAAGCTCCTGGTTCCTGGCTTTGGCTTGGCATGACCTGGTCCAGCCCTTGGGGAGTGAACACTAGTAAAATCAATTGATATCTCTCCTCATCTCATTACTCTTTCAAATAAATAAATAAATCCTTAAAAATAAGTAAACAAGTAAAAGCAGTCCACTGCAACAGCTGGAAGGCTATGTGAGTTTGGCGTCCAATAGTAATCAGAGTGAATAACTCACTGTGGCAAATCAGTAGTTGCACCCTAGTCTCCAGTTTTCTCCTGCTCACACAACTGCAGTAGAAGTCCAAATGCACTAGATGCATTTCTCAACAAACAAAATCAAAACCTACATTTGTCTGGAAAAGAGCTCTGAACATAAACCAATGTGATTTGACACCAAACTCCAACGTAGTCTCATACATTTTATACAATTCTCTTACCCATCTTCCAAGCCATTCCTGAACATGCCAGTATAGATCTTTCCATCAGGCCACTTCAAGACACCTCTGTAGTGCATGAGCAAAGAAGAGATGAAGTCAATGAAAGTCTCAGACAACTGACACTCTTCCGTATCAACTGCCAGCCTCATCCCTGGTGGGGACCTTAAACATTTTTACCTGCCATGAGGTTTCCCCGAAAGCCAACGTCCATTATAAGTGGCATCCTTCAGGCGAGGGTCCTTGTAGAACGTGTACTTGGCACTACGTGAAATGGGCGGTTCTTGCCACTGAACACCACTGCCCCCTCCATAAGGCGGAAGATCAGATGTCCCCCTCAAGGCCTGGTCCACAGCTTGGCTGATCGCCCGCAGCCACTTTGTCTAAACGGCAGTGATTCATCAGGCAGGGCTTACATCCCAGCTTTCCCTGGGGTGAACAATTTTTCTGTCTCCTAATGTTTTGCTTATTAGTTATTCTTATTAATGTTTATTATTATTTAACACTGGACTGGCATACACTGTCAAATGGTAAAACCAAGCCATATTTTTAAAAAATACTAAAGTCTTGATTTAATGAAACTATATCAAAACTATAAGCCAACAATAACTACTTTTACTTTTTTTTACTAATAAAAAAAGGCAGAAATAGCAAAACCAAAGAACAAACAAAAATACCACAATGGACCAACCTTTTCCTGGGGTGTTGATGAAATGAGAGTGAACTGTTCTTCAGGTGTAGTTATCTTTATGCCATTCCTAAACATTCACAAAGATAAACATAGATATGACAATTGGTCACAACTCATTTAAGAGATACATGCCAGGATTTGGGTTTCACAACAGGGGAAAAGGTATTAAATTTCCCTGTTCTATGTTGAACATTGGGGCTGCAAGTGGCAGACAGATATATTCTAGACCCTACCATAATCTGTCAGTCTTCCCAACAGGCCATTTTACTATGGATTGCGTTAGAAGGTGAGCCTCAATATGCAGAACGCAGAGGCAAACTTCCCAAGCCCTCCTATTTTTGAAAAAGCAACCCGGGAGAAGGATGGAGGGAACTGAGGCTTGGGGCAGGGAGAGGGAATACACTTACACACCACCAGCTTCTTCAGAAAGTGGCTCCACCCACAGTGTGGCCAGAGGGAAAACATGGTGCGTGGAGAACTGGAAGAGAGAACACAGAGGCATGTCTGCCAAGCCTCAAGTACACCTCAGGGTCTATGCCGGCATCCCCCCTTAGATCATTAGCCCACGGGGTCCCTGCAGTCTCTGCCTCATAACCTCCTAGCGACGTTTAAGCTCATGAGGGTACTGCCATCTCAGCCACATGGTTCCCCTAACCCTGAGGGCCTTGCCATGTCTGCTGCAGGGACCATAGCACATGGCTAACACACATTCAAGAGGCAGAAACTAAAGTCCACACCACAGATGCAAGCTGCAGTTGAACACTTTCTCTCATGCCATAGTTTCGGCACAATCACATGAGTTGACAGTGCAAAGACAGGCAGTGTACTCCTGTTTCCCCTCCCAAGGCCTCCTTTAGGGACAGGCATCCAGCCCACCTGGGCATGCACCAGGGCATCATTGAAGAGAATGAACCAATTCACAGAAAACCTTCCTGCGTGTTGCAGAGACAGGGCTCGGTTACTGCTCTCACACAGCAGCCGTCGCTCTGGCTTCCTCAAGGAATCCTACGGTGAAAAATAATGTCTCTGAGCAACAATCAAAAACAATCTTCACACGCAAACAGAAGATGAAATAGCCATGAATCACATTCACAGGAATTTGGTGCTAAATTGAGATGGATCCAAACACTTCACCAAATTAGAGCTCAAGGTAGGAACAAATTAAGTGAGGAAAGTGACCGGGCCTTCAGAGAGCATCCCTGGAAATGGGAAAGATAAAGATATATTTACAGTACCACTGCTGTGGTCCTTTGACATGCTGGGAGAGGAACTGTTAAGCATTATTATGAGATAAAAAATGAGGAACAGAGAAAACCACGGCAAAAATGAAGGCCCGCAGCAGGGATCTTATCACCTGGCTGACATGCATTCATAAACCAAAAATTAAAAGCCATACCCCAGAGGCAAGCTGGAGCTGAACACTTTCCTTTATGCCACAGGAACCAGATCACACAAGTTAACGGTACAAAGTGATTTGGTACTAGGCTGCCAACGGCCCCTCCCCTGCCCCAGGGCTTACCGTCATCTTTCCCGGGAAGGTCTTCCAGAAGCCCAGCGTGTATTCTGCTTCCTTCCTTCTCCTGCCGAGATGGAGAGCAAGAGACTCATAACAAGAACTGGAGTCCTGCAGTTTCTGATATTCTGGAGATGTCTGGAGGGCCAATAATTGAGGGGAGGAAAAGAAAAAAAAAGAACATAAAACCATTGTCTGGCATCTGCTAGGCTCAGTGTGAGCTTTCCTACACGGTAGGAAAGGTACAGAGAAAACTCAGCCCAGAATGGAAGAGCTACACTAAAAGGGCCTAGGAAAAGGGAAGATTTGTTTCAGAGAAACTCGCCTACTCACAGGCACATGTAGGGAAAGAACCCAGGGAGGGTTTGGGGAGGCAGACAACATTGTGGGGATTGGGAAGCAGAGCCACCTAGCATGCAGGAAGGGTGCTCTCAAAGCTCTGCTTTGGCCTCAGGATCCCTTGATCTGGCTTGTGTGCATTATATTTACTGATATTTATCACATCAGGAAACAGGAAAACATTTCAAAACCTTTACTAGTCAAAGTAACGTTCAGTTAAAACCATATTTTCCAAACCAAAATAATTCAATGAAAAAAAAAAAAAGGAGTACAGGCCCACATTTTCTTCAAATCTTTTTCCAAACCTGGCTTAAAAGAGGGCAGCAAGAATGGGTGTTGGGCATAGCAGTGGAGTTACTGCTTGAGATGCCTGCGTATCTGTTTGCCTGCTTTTCTGAGTTCCAGCTCCTCTGCTTCCAAGCCAGTTTCTGCTACTACTGAGCGCCCTGGGAGACAGCAGATGGAGGCTCAAGTGTTCGTATTCGCACCATCCAAATGAGAGACCCACACTGAGTTCTGGGCTCCTGGCCTCTATCTGTTATAAATGTTTGGAAATAAATCAGCACATTTATTTTTTTGCTTCTAGTTTTCTTTGCTTCTCTGCCTTAACAACAATAACGATAAAAATTTTAAAACTAGCAAATCTGCATTTCATGAGTTATGAAATGCCACTTAATTAGAATAACTGTCTACAAAAAGTTTCATGGAAATGTGTTATGAAAAAAATCCATCAATTTCAAATTTATGCACTAAAATAGACTTATTTTTTTTAGTATATGTGCTGCTGAAGCGAGCACTAAAATAAACTTATTTTTAAATGCACTATTTTTCCACAAACTTTTCAAAATACTCCCTCGTTAAACAGAAGTTTTCCAAAAGGTAGCTACAGTGAGAAATCTGAAACCACAGCCTTACACTTGTTGTTTTCTGTTCTTACTAAAACCCACTGGTTTCCTCTGCACATTGAACAGATCTTTTACCATACATGATTTTGTAACAATGTAGACTCCATATTTGGAAGACATTGGCTGACTGAACTAAGCAGATGTTCTAAATGTTGGTGCTTATGTCTACAGCCATACCATCTTGAACGCGCTTGACTCAACTAAATGTTGGTGCCTTTTTTTTTTTACACATCAAAACATCACATCACGCCATCTGAAGTGCCTAGGACAGATACCACAGCCAGCTCTGACTCCAGCATCTGCCTAATGCAAATCCTGGGAGGCAGCGATAACGGTTCAAGTAAAGGGTTCCTGTCACTCATGTGGGAGACCTGGAATTGAGTTCCCAGCTCCCAGTTTTGGCCAGAGCCATCATAGGTATTCAGGCATTAAACCAGGAGGCTAAGGCTCTCTCCCTTTATCTGTGCATCTGCCTCTCAAAAAATTATACATTAAAAAAAAAAATCGGGCCCGGTGGCATGGTCTAGCGGCAAAAGTCCTCACTTTGAACGCCCGGGGATCCCATATGGGTGCTGGTTCTAATCCCGGCAGCTCCACTTCCCATCCAGCTCCCTACTTGTGGCCTGGGAAAGCAGTCGAGGACAGCCCAAAGGTTTGGGACCCTGCACCTGTGTGGGAGACCCAGAAGAGGTTCCTGGATCCTGGCTTCGGATTGGCATTGCATCGGCCGTTGCGTTCACTTGGGGAGTGAACCATCGGATGGAAGATCTTCCTCTCTGTCTCTCCTCCTCTTTGTATATCTGACTTTCCAAAAAACAAATAAATCTTTAAAAAAAAAAAAAATCACATGTCATTAGTACTACCTATTTTATCAAAAGCAATCCTAAGAATTGTCAGATTCACAGCGAGGCAGGTTTTAACACTCATTTTTGCTCAAGGTATAGATTTTGTCATTGTAACAAATAGTGTCCATCAGTTATTCCCTGCTAGGATTTGGGTAACACTGTGGGTGTCCAACGTCCCACAAAGGCCCATGCACTAAAATGTGGTCCTCAGCGCCTCATGTTAACAGTACAAAAGAGTGGAAAGGATATAATCACGGTATCTGAAAGTGGGGCCCTGGAGAAGTGACTGGATTAAATGAGGCCATTTTGGTGGAGCCCCCATCTGGTGACGTAACAAGAGAACACAGACATGGACTGACACTTGCTTTTGCTACAGGATGCCCTGGGCTGCCTTGGACCTCTGCCAGCAAGAACACTGCTACCAGATGAGGAACTTAGGAGGCCTGTCCAAATTTGGGCTGTGAGCCTTCAAAACCATCAACTGAAATAATCCCCCTTTGCTTTATGAGTGTATTTCACACATTTCCTAATAGCAACAACAACAAAAAAACCTGACTGATACAATCTACTTCAGATGACATGTTTATTTACTCCTTGTTGAAAAAATATCTGCCAATGCCCAAATGTAAACAACCACAGTGTATCTGTCTGTTTTCTCTCTTAAGCCTACAAAGAAGAAACAGTTCTTGGCTAAGACAACCGCAGTCCTCCTTTCTCATGCGAAATCCTCACACTTTAGAACTGCTTTGTGCATGCTTCCCATCACCACACAGAATGTTACAGAGGTCTACTCAGTGGCGGAGCTACTAATAATTAAAATCAGTATCTTTTACTGCTTCATCATGAACATTTTTGAGAGACACATTTTTTGTCTTTAACACGAGCTTGTGTTGGTGAAGAGCACAAAGGCAAGCATTTGAGTCTGGTGCCAGAGCTAAGATCCCTGTGAGGGAGCCAGCAGTGTTACCACCCTTACTTCTGCCCCACCTGTGCAGATGACAACAAGCAGGAAAAGGCAATGTCTTAGCACCACAGGAGAATAATTTCGGTGCTCTGAACTCTGAAAGGATCTTTGGCACCCTGAGGAATGTGCAAATCCAACTTGAGAATGAGCTACCAGCACAGGGCTGATGAGCACAGGAGATAAGACGAAAGGACAAGCCCTCCCATTCACGACTAAACACGTTCTACAATGCTTAGAGTTGTTCACATCTTTTCCATTTATTTAAGATATCCTGAATAGTTACAAGATCAAAAGCATCACATTTTATGTCTTCTGGGAGCTTACAGAACCAGGCAGAGAAGAGAGAAAAACACACAACATATCAGAATAACACAGTGGTTTCATTACTAGGTTACATAGTGGAAGCAACAATATTGTCAAGCAGTTAAGGAAATGGATTCTGGAGCCAGAGAACCTGAATATGAATCCCAGTTTGGCAGTTCTTAAGTATACTTCAGTTCTGCATGTAAAAGGGGATAATAATACCACCCATTTCTCAGGGTTGAGTTGGGGATTCAATGAATATATAGAACATGCTTAGAACAGAAACAAGCATATGAAATATATTCAATAAACATTTTTTCATATGCAGTTCAAATTTATATACATATGTACATATGGTATATACATATGTACACAAATGCATACATTTTAGCTGTACCTTGGATGTACTACATTACACATTACAGTAAAGAAACATAAACAATGTGTGTTCATACACAGGATTTCAATACTATGATAAGGATCAGAACTATTAACAGAGATGAGTAGTGGAGATAGAATTTGTCAGCCAGGCACAGGAGAAGAGTAAATCATGCTTGAAAGATGGCAGGAAGAAGCAGAAGCAGTGCAATCAGAGAGAGCTCCACTTTCACGGGAAGATGCCTTTTGCCTCAGGCCTTGAAGTTTCCATTGTGAGAGCTATATCCAGGGAATATGAACTACTAAGGCCTTATAGGCAGGGCAAAAGAAAAGGCTAGAAACAAGAGAAGGTATCATACTATATACAACCTTGAAGTCAGACTAAAGAGTTGCAATTAACCCATAGAGCTAGGCCCTTCAGACTGGGAACAGGAACTATCAGACTCCTTGAACAATCCCAAGCTAATCCAGTAGAGATTTTTAAGGTGTGAATCTGGGTACAGCTAACGCTGGATCAATCAGGGTGAAGTCTGAAAGCAGACTAGATGAAAGACCTACAAAGATCACAGCAGAATCAAACAGAGAAAGCCTGTCAATTCCAGGTTACTCTAGGGACAGAGATCTGTGTATATTAGGATAGGTTCCAAGATTAAGAAGATCCAAAACCTAAGAGACCTTGGAGTTATCATGGTTTCTCTAGAATCCTTCTCAGGACAAACAGATACCACTTACCTCACTACAACTTCTGAAGTGATTGTCTCATGACCAGCCTTATTATACACTCATATCTTAGAGTGGCACTAATTATGCTAGACTCCATTAACTCTTCTTACACAGAAAATGAACTAGGTAATGTTGGAGAAAGTTCTGTTACCACTAATTTCTCATAGCATCTCTAAGGTGACCCCAAAACTGTAGCCCAAGCATAGCATGCACCCAGACAGGAAGTCACTCTTCCACCTCACAGAGCTGTGCCATCACACTGAGCAGATCTCATACTCTGTACCCAATACAGTCTGACAGCCATTGGGACTAGTACTAAAAACAAGGTTTTAACCTTTGACACAGTTCAGTCAAATAATACTTAATCTTGATAAAATCCCCAAAGGAAACTGAACCCACAGTACAAAAACAAACAAACTAGATTCTCCTATAATCATACTTTGCTGTCATTTCCCTGATTAAAAAAACACTGAATTAGTTAAACATTAAATATTAACTAGAGTTCCAGGCACTAGAGGGGTATAAACCAAATGGTCCTCGACCTTTCAAGTATCCAAAGGGGGTAGAAATGGGCAACTTACCACTTCAAAACAAGTGGCAAGCTTTAGTAAAACTTTTGCATAATTATGAAGTCGTCTGATTGGCACAAAAAACAGAGTATTCAATATTTCCATCAACTGAATGTTTTCATCATTTACTTCAGATAAATCTTGTAATAGCTCTTGGTTTTTATTTAGGAAATCACTGGAAGTAAAGAAAAACAGATTTGGTTAATCATTTTGGTAGTGGTAATATGCAAGGTAATCTAATAGAAAATTTCACTAAGTAGGACATGTTTCAGAATATGTATATTTAGGTGCTAGGAACATAATGACATATAGTGAAACAAGAAAGATTTAATTTTACAAATTTTCCTATCCATAAAACAGGGAGGAAGTATAAACAGCAAATGGTAGCAACAGGAACTCTAATTAAAATGGCTATGTACATGCTTGTATCCTTTGTTCTAGTAAATGAATCATGCATCCCACAATGTCAAAGAACAATCAGAGCTCAACTGACATTATTTCATGTTAATTTCAGAGCCAAAAGTCATGGCAGTAAATGGATAAGATTAATGCCATAACCCACTGTGCCAAACAGAAATACAGCAGGAAAAGCCAAGTTCTTGTTCCAACAGCATTGGCATGGATATTAGAACACTTCTAATTTCTTCCGTTTTCTGCCAATTGTTTATCACATAACATAAATTCCAATAAAAATAAATGTTTAAAAATGTACAAAAAAATTACTATAGAAGAAAAATTTGAAGCTATAAGAACCAGTAATACTATTCACAGGAAAAAGGAAATAAAATTATAGGTAAAGATTTCAATTTAGTTTGTAAACTTATGTTGTTACATAAATTCATTATTAAAATTTGTCATCGATTGAGTCTATGCTCACCAGGCCAAAACACTTAAATTGCTTATACAACAGTTAAGAGCTGTTGGGACAGAATCCTTTTTTGTCACTTCATGAGCAACAATTAAACCACCCAGCTCTGTTGGTATTCCTACTTCCTCTCCGTGCTCTGCAGCAGGGGTCAGCTGAGGACACTCCCACAGTCCTCCGGGAGCATTCTGCTTTGACCTGCTGCGGAGACAGGGGTAGGACGGGATGAAGTCACACTCCCTCCCACCAGACTTTGAAGGCCAGTGCAGAAATGGTTCCATTCGCACGAATTCCATTACTTTCCAGGACTTGCTCATGCTCTGGCCTCTTGTTACAGACTTACATCCTTTAGAAGAACCCAGGTGGACTCCCAGGGAATCTCACCAGGGGACAAGCTTGTCTGCCTTTTGAGTTTTTCACGGTCTTTCCTTACATGGCTACTTCATATTGTTCCTCAAGTTTTTAAAATAAGAATTAGTGCATTATAGGCAGGAAAAAAAAAAAAAGAACCTAAGTATGCTACAACAGATTCATGGATGAATCAAATGTGAAATATTATTTAGTTGCAAAACGGAGTGCAATTCGATATACGTTGCAAAATTCATGGATCTTGAAAACATTATGCTTCAGGACCGTTAGCCAGACAGAAGGATAAATGCAATTTCACTCGCATAAAGTATCTAGAACAAGCGAAATCCCAGAAACACAAGGTAGACTAGCAGTTGCCAGAGGCTGCAGGAGAGTGGACAGGTTACTGTTTAATGGGTACATAATTTTGGGGTACAAAGTTCTGGGGAGGAACAGTGGTGAATACATAACATTGTGAACATATTTGACACCACTGAACTGTACGCTTATGAATGGGTAAATACTATGTCATGTATATTTTACCAGAGTTGAGAAGAGAAAACAGCCTGTACAACGATCCAAGTGCTAAGCTAACCGAGGGATGGGAACCTGACCGTCACCTAAGACCCAATGAGTGCACAGAACTCACCCCTGGGCTCTGGAGGTCTGAAACTCAGGAACACTGACTGTGGACAGACACAGAGAAAGGATGGCATTTCTGTCTCCAATTAGGGAAGAGACAGGGATTCATTAACCCCCACTTAGAAAATGCTGCCCAAATTCTCTGTCCTAGCATCTGCTGCCCAGCCCAGAGTGCACCTTGGTCGTCTGCTGCATGCCTAGGCTGTGAGCATGGGACTGTGGGCAAGAAGCTTTCACTTATCTCAGCTCCTTTAGCAGATTTAGCAGAGACCAAGATCACCCTGAGCTCTGCAACACTGGAGGCAGGTAAGCAACACAGCAGCAGAAGGCCAGGGCCAATGACTGCCAGAGTCATAAAGAAGCCCGGAAACTCCCCACTTAGACTGCCTTGTGTCTCCACCTAGTTTTGCATCCTCCTGTAATTAAACTTGGCTTCCTCCAAGCTTTGCAAATGTCACTGAATAACACATATAATGCTTGTCTACCTCCTCCTTATCCTATTTTCTGTAAGTCACCACATCCATTAGTTATTTTCCATCAAAGGGGAGAGAATGGTGCTGATTTTCACATGAAGAGTTGGGTTTATTGACTTGGGGAGGGTTACCCAGTCTCTGGGATAACAAGAGGTGGTACTAAGGAGGGATCCAGATCTTATGCCTTTTAGTTTAATGCGTTTAGGTATTATGCTACTTCTGTGGATAATCAGTTATCTTTTAGAAGGGCTTTGGCAAAATGACCAAGCCAAGGCTTTCCCTGAGAACCCCCAAACACAAAACCCCATAACATATGATCCTTGGATGCTGAATAGTAATGGGAAAGTATGTGCTTGCTTACATGGCAGGTTTGGCAAGAAGCGAGAATCCTCCCATAACCAGGAAATTTGTAATAGATGTGCAATACCTACAGCAAAAAAGAAAACACAGGAACATTAGTGTTAAAATATAAAGTGCTTTTTCAGACTTTTCAGACAAGTACCTGGAGCAAATATTTTTTTGTATCTCCCCAATGAGTTCTTGGCTTCTGTGATGTCAACATTTGTGAGCTACACAAGGATAAAGAGAAAGCAGGTTAAGGTGATAATCGCAGCAACCAGAGAGGTGCTGGTTTAGTAATGAGGTTAGTGCAAAGGGAAATTTTAAAAACACAGCCACGCAAGCAATGGCTATAGTTTAAGAAAATGTTATCAGATCTGTCAGATATTTAATGGAAATTTTCCCCTAATCTTTACTTCAGGTTTCCCAATAACATCTTCAGAAATGAACAGTAAGGGCAAGCAAGCTCTGGGTCATGGAGGGCTAAGCCACCTCCTGAGAGGCCTTCATCTTCTCCCAAAATGCCTCGAATTGAAACTTGTCTCTGCTTCTCATCCAGCTCAGCTGAGGATGAGAAGTATCTGGGTCGGTGCCATTCACAGGGAAAATATGAATGGAATTCCAGGCTCCCACCTCCAGCGTGGTCCAGTCATGGCTGCAGCAGACATTTGGTGAGTAAGCTAGCAGCTGGGTGTGTCTGTCTCTGTCCCTTTCTGACATGCTGCCTTCCAATAAATTAAAAATATAAACTTTTGGAAAAATTAACAGTACAGAAAGTAAGAAAATTGTTTAAAAGAGCTTAAGGGCGAGAGTGTTAGAAAATGTTGATTAGGGCCCAGCACAGTGGGCTAACAGCTAACGTCTTCACCTTGAATGCACCAGAATCCCATTTGGGCGCTGGTTCTAATCCCAGCAGCCCCACTTCCCATCCAGCTCTCTGTCTGTGGCCTGGAAAAGCAGTCAAGGATGGCCCAAAGCTTTGGGACCCTGCACCTGTGTAGGAGACCCAGAAGAAGCTCCTGGCTCCTGGCTTTGGATTGGTTCAACTCCAGTCGTTGCAGCCACTTGGGGAGTGAACCATCAGACAGAAGATCTTCCTCTGTCTCTCCTTCTCTCTGTATGTCTGCCTTTCCAATAAAAATAAATAAATCTTTTCAAAAATGTTGATTAAAGGGCCTATGGTGCAGGGTTGAGTCCTGGTTGTTTCACTTCTGAGCCAACTCCCTACTGATGTGCTAGGAAAGCAGTAGAGGACATGGCCCCAAATGTGTGGGTTTAAGTACCTGTTGAAGACTTGGATAAAGCTCCTGGATCCTAACTTCAGCCTGGTGCAGCCCTGGCCAGTCCACTTTGGGAAGTAAACCAGCAGACAGAAGACCTCTTTCTCTGTCTGCCTCTCCCTGCCTATAACTCTTTCAAATAAATACTTCTTTTTAAAAGTGTTACAAGTACTACTACCAGTAGAGAAACTTCTTTTCCTAGGCTGGCAAATTGCATCAACTGACTTTGAGAGAAGAAAAACTCCTACTACAAACAGTCCAACTGCCCTATGCTCAAACACGATGCTAGACACGAAAGCTCATGTCACATGATTCCATTGGTATGAAATATTCAGACTAGGTCAATCCATGGAGACCATGCAGGCATCAGAGTGACATCTAGGGATGGCATGGGATGGAACTGCTTAACCAGTGAAGGCTTTTGTTCAGAGATGACAAACACTGCGGAGGACTAGACTGAGACTCTAATTGCACCAAATGGTGAAGGCACTAAATACCACAAGTCTAAAATGGCTATATTTCATGCTATATGAATTTTACCTCAATAACAAGTGCACCAGCAAACAAAAAGGCTACAGTGATCAATTTTATGTGATGCATATTTCACAATTTAAAACTTTTAGAATTTACATATAAACCTAACTATCTACTTGCCTCATCTATTGGAAGCAAGCAGATTATTATATAATAATAAGATATTATGTTAAAAAAAATAACTCATCTATCAAAGCTGAAGCACTTTCACACAGAGGGCCTAAAGTATCAGAGAAGAAAAAGTAAAAAAGAGGTAAATACAAACTTGAAAAGAAAATTACACTAATGACAGCTGAAACTTTCATACAAACAGCAAAGCCTAGATTTTAAAAAGAGAATCAGTGTCAAGTTATATTACTTCATTTTCCACATCGGAAGGTTGGTAAGTTAAAAAACTCAAACTAGACTATATTCTTTCAGAAAAGTTTCAAATATATTCAAATTTGCTTAGAATTAGAATCTCATGCATCAGTCTGTACATGACATCTGAAAACAAACACACTAAAATGATCAACTGTGGTTCCTTCTAGCAGGAGGATTATGGGCAACTTAGAACATCCTTTCCATGATCATTATTTGTACAGTGTTCACCTTAATGCCGTAAGTGAAAACAGAACTTGAGCTCCCTGAGGACAGGTGGTTTTCAAGGGCTAGTGGGGACCTGGAGATCCGTGCAGTGACCGGCACTCCATGGGCACTCAGTATTATTTTTGGATGGATAAAGTATGAATAAACTAAAATTATGCACATTTGAGATCACTGATACAACACACATGAAAGTAGCACTTAAGTTATGCCTAACATAATGCTAAATGCAAATTAAACTTCATATGGGATATTTTATTTAAAGAGCAGTAAAAAAACTCTAGATAATCATTCTGGGTTTTATCAAGAAAATATCTCAATGTTAATAGTGTTTTGGTCTTTCAAATCTTCACTGACAGGAGAGTTAAAAGCAAACATCAGAATCAATCAATCTCATGTTTTTAACCAGCAATTGGTCTTGAAACTTTATCAAGTTTTAGTACAATTTACATAATTGAGAAAATAACCAGGTTTATTATACTTTATATAACATAAGTCACTATCAATAATTCTGCTAGGATATAGCAGGGATTATTATTTTTCAACTTTCTTCTCCTTTAAAGAAAACTAAACTTTAGCCATGCTAGAGTTGGTTTAAGGTCCAAACACAGCTGCTGTCTCTTCTGATTAAACAACTCTTCTCCCTGGCACAGCAGCCCTACAGGGACTGAACATGACACGGCACAATACTTACTCTGTATAACTGTCCAGGAAGAGACTGGCATGCTTCAGAATGACCAGGTTCCTGGCTTCCTTCATCCCCTGCAGGAAGCTTCTCAGGGAGACTCCATGCTGACCAATTAAGTAACACAGCTTACTGAATCGGCTTGCCACCTCCTGCAACAACTGAACTGTGTTGGCACTGCCCAAATTTTCTGTAACAAAATAATGACAACAGTCAAAGTTTGAACATTATGATTGTATGAACAACATTTTAAGTTCTCCTTTTCTGAAAACACTCAACAGGTTGAGACATATTTTATCAAAGGAGCGCAAATAATCTCATTGTTCAATAAAGTGACTTGAAAGACCATCGGTGGCTGGGTCTGAAGTGAGGATGGGGGAACCTGGTGGTGGCATTTTGGTGCAGTGTGTTAATCTGCCACCACTTGTGAAACCAGCCCCAGCTGCTTTGCCTCTGCTCCAGGTTTTGGCTTAAGGTGCGGGAGGGCAACAGAGATGGCCCCAGTACTGAAGATAGTACCTAAGTATGCGGGGTATCAGGTGGAGTTCCTGTCCTAGAAGCTTTTGGGGAGTGAAACAGTATATGGAAAATCAATTCTTTCTCTCTTTTTCTCTCTCTCCACCCCTTACTCTCTCCCTCTCTTCCTGTCTATATTGTTCTGCCTTTCAAATAAATAAATAAATAAATGTAAAAAAAAAAATCACAAGTTTTAGTAATTTCAGGACAAGATCCTTACAGATCCTTACAGAATAGGTCTGAAATTCAGATCCTAGGATAGGTATTTGAAAAAAGGCTCTCCAGATGACAAAGATCAACCAAATTGGAGAACCACCTTGGTAATTCAACCTTCTTTTCAAACATATGTAATACGACAACAAATGAATGGAAGTGAATTTTCTAATTTCACACACTAGTTACCAAAGCTCATGAATTAAACTCACTTCTGTATCTATCTCTTAGTTTATTTTCAACTTTTCATACCAACTTCTGTCTTGCTAGTTCTTCCCACCCACTCCAGTCAGCTCAGCCTTTTCATGCAGAAGTGTGACTCAAGTCAGAATGCTGGGGCCCTTGGAATGCTACAGAGGGCTTTGGGAGACAACTCAATAAAGCTAAGCAAAAATATTCAATTCCATCCACTTGAACTGATGAGAATCTAGCCTCACTGGGAAGTCCAGCCTCCAGACTCAATGTCCCCAGTGTGGTGTCTGCCTCTCTGTCACACCTTGGAAGCCCCACTGTCTACTTCTGCAAATAGAAGGAGCTGTGGAAAGGCAGGAGAGGGGAAGAGACAGCTGGACTGCTGATGTAAACAAAATATAACCTGTTCACTGCACAAAAAAACATAAGACTGGAAAGAAAGGAATAAACCTCAATTCAAAGGCTTTCTTTCTTTTTAGTATATTTGCTGCCGAAGTGAGTATGGTTTTCTTTCTTTATGATATATAAAGAATAGAAAAAAATAAGAGCCCTAATGATTTGGGCATAAGGGGTGGGGGACACTTCCACTTACCCAAGCTGAGAAGAGGCCTGAGAATCTGAGATTTGATGTCACTTAGTCTTGAATAGAACCGTCTTTCTGTAGCAGCCAACTCATGAAGACTGGCTATATACCCCATGATGTTTTTGTCCACCAAGGCTATATAACTCTCTTTTCCTGCTATGACTCTGCTTACATATCCAAGCTGAAACAGAAAAACATACAAAGATTACAGGTAAAACATAATTAGATCATGATAATTTGGTGCACTGAGCCAGCTTGTGTGCGCTGGTAAAAGCCAACTGTCAAACACTCAGGAACTTTCCAAGAGCATTTTAAAAACATTGGCAGCATAATATTGACCAGAGTGAAACTCTGGAGAAAAACTACAGATCAGGCTGCTTACTTGTTTTGTTTTAGAGCTGATAACCAATTTCACAGTAAAAGATACATGGGGAACTACAAACACCCTAGAAATTGAAACATACATAGGACAGGGACACATGTTTCAGGGCCCACTTGTGAACGATGGAGGAGCAGTAAGAGCAGAGTTCTAAACAAGAAAATGTCAAGCGGCTAAAAGTTTAGCGTTTCTAAAAAGTTCCACACAAAGGGATATTCTTTAAAATGGTCTTTGTCATTTACCAAAAATACCATTCAACGAATCATCCAATGTCTTCACATGTTTAAATTATTAAACTAAGCAGGCGACCTGTACACCTGTACACCAGAGCTTTGGTCTTTTCACCAGTCTGGTTCATCCTTTATTTTAATTGCACTCTTTCATGGGGAATGTGCAGCCACAGTCAACAACTATAAACTCAATTAGCACACTTGAAAGAAGAGGCTAAGCAAAGGCCAAGAGCCCAATCTTGGCCTGTGTTGCCTTTAGCAGCTAAGATCTTGCTCCTATACATTCCTAGGATACTAACGCAGCCAGAAAAACAGACTTAAAAGCATTCCATAGGCAATATGATTCAAAAGAAATAAGAAACTCAGAACATAATAGCTTTGCTATTTGCAAGATATGAGTTACTAAGGTTGGGTGTAGCCACAAGTTCGAGTTTTAAAAAAAGACAAAACAGAACAGAGAAAAATTTAGATCTTCAAGTAAGCAACAGGAGCTTCGGTGAAAAGCTGAGAAGAAATGATAGAGCACTGCCAAAGGCTGCCGGGTCCTTCATGTCTGCCCTGACCCTGCTCAGGACCCCGCAACTAACCTCCCACTAACAGAATACACCTACCCCATTTCTATTCGAGTTCACCTCTAAAGATTCCACATATGCAGTCAAGAAACATCACTGTGACATGCACTTTTCCCAGAGAATTTTTTTTTTTAAGACACGTACAACAAAGATAGAACAATGACCGGAAGAGCCTAAAATCCCTACCCTGGTGAATCTTACAGTAGAGAGGACAGACAACAGACAGAACAAGGAAGTGGCACAGTGTATTAGTGACAGGGACCGTGGAGAGAAGGCATGAGGAAAAAGATGTAAGGAGTGACTGGATGAAAGGGGACTGCAATCTTAAATAAGGTAGTCAGAGTACTTGGTGGTCAGGCATACAAGCACCAATATGACAGATTTCTCATGTGTTATAGCATGTGCACCTAAGGATCCAATTCCTGTTCACCTTACTACAGGAGAGAAGTACTGGAGTCTTAGTACCACTGGTATTCTCTGGAAGGTTGTCACCTTCTGTAGGGTCCTGTCGGCCACTGTAATATAGCCCAGGCTGGAAGTCTTCTGTATCCACCAAAAACAGGGAATAATCTTGGCCTGCAGCTACACTCCAGACTCCATGTTCACTGCTCACCTGCAATAACAGAAAGATATTGTTTGTCTAAGGCGATGCACAACTTCAGCTCTCCAGAAACTAAAATATTAGGTTACTTAAGGCATGGTACAAATCTAGGCCTGTCTCAGAGAGCAAAACTCAGCCAGCAAAATGTATATCAGATGTAGAAATCCCATGTTCAGCTTTTAAATTCAGAATTGGATTGTTTCTATTAAAAAACAAACCAAAAAAACAGCACTGGGGCTGGGATGTGGTACAGAGATTCTCATAGCCTGGTTCAAGTCCCAGCTACTCTGCTTTTGATCCAGCTGCCTGCTAACGCACACACTGGGAGACAGCAGATGGTGGCACAAGGACTTGGGCCTAGCCACCCACGTGAGAAACCCAGATCAACTTTTGGGCTCCTGGTCTCAGCCTGGCTCAACCCTGGTTATTATGTGTCCATGTGCATGTACTGGCTACTTCACAGCTATCCTGTTCTACCATGACCCTGTTCTCAAATTCAAACTAGCCTGTTTTGAATTTTGATTCATTTTGCCAAGAATGAATGCTAGCATTTTGACAGGAGGAAGCAGTCATCTTCTTACTCTAATTAAAATTAATTCAAATCTCATTCTGCCTAAGCTTTTCATTCTTACAAATTAGAATGACTTCAAAATCTTTTTTCACAATTCACCAAGTAAACCACAATCATGATTCCATAGTACTTATATGTACAGTTATGAAACTAAGACATTGTAAAACTACATAGAATTTTGCCTCCCAGCACCTTGTCACATTAGAAAATTTTCCTTAGCATAAATAAGTACATTTTCTACTTCCTAGGTAAAAATACAAACAACCAAAAGCACAAGAAATGATGATTTGCTCTACTTTTTTGATAAAGCAGAAATTCGGTAGCCTTTTTGAGAATATTGAAGACTGAGTGAAGGCAAGTCATAATTACTCCCTAATGTTAAGACTTATTCTACGGTGGAAAATTAAGTTGACTAAAAGAAAACATGCATGTAAAAGTCCAAGACCGTAGTGGGAGCATGCTGTATATGGAGTAGACAAATCATGGGAATGACCTTCCTGTCTGAGTTTGTTACTCTCAATAGTAGAGGTCTGTGTGATGAAGAAAACCTCAGAATCTAACTACCTAAGCATGAGTTCCATATCCCACTCCATTTTGCACACTACACAAACTACCTGTCCCCACCAAAAAAGTCAAAACTGCTGGTTAAGGAACCAATACTATCCATAGGGAGTTAGTATTTCCTCAGGGTGTTATAGCAGGGGGTATAAAAGAAAGGTAGGAAAACACTGCTCTAGAATTGCACAAAAGGGACTAGGAGCTGGCACTGCCTAAATACACTGCATAAACTGAAGCCAGAGCATAAAAATAGTATAACAATGATAACCTATAGGCTTTAGCGTTACTATAGAAAAGGGAAAGGTTTACAAAAAGATGATAGTACCATACGTTAGAAATAAAACATAAAAGCAGATAACCACCAAATAATGCTATATATTAGCCAAACACATGATAAGTTATAGAACAGACATGATTTGGTAATACAGAGTTCGGAAAACATTTGTTTCGGATTTTTTGTTTTTTGGTATATATTTTTTCACTTTAGAAAGACAAAAGAACTATGAATTTTCAAGAATTGATATTAAAGAAATATAACTTTTTAAAAAAATACTTAAATAAGCAGCTTCATGTTTAAGAAAATTTAAGGGGCTAGCGTAGCGGAGTAGCATCCTAAGCCTCTGCCTGTGGTTGTGCCATTCCATATAGGTGCCGTTTCAAGAGAAGCTCCACTTCTAATCCAGCTCCCTGCTAATGTGCCTGGGAAAGCAGTGGAGGATGGCTCAAGTCCTTGGGTCCCTGCACCCACGCCAAAGACTCACAAGCACTTGACTCCCAGCTTTGGACCAGCCCAGCTCTGGCTGTTGTAATCATTCATAGGGTAAGCCAGCACATGATGACCTCTGTCTCTCCTTCCCTCTAACTCTGATTTTCAATTAAATAAATAAATATTTTAAAAATTAAGAATATCAAAATAATGTATGCTAAAAAAAAGGCAACTCTATTTTTTAAAAGAAAAAAATGGAGAAATATTAAGTACTATAGCTTAGAATTCTAGAAAAGTTGCTACCAAGTTTATTAGAGTACCTTTGCAAGACGAGGAACTGTTGTTGGAAAATCAGAATGCCCAAGTTGACCAAAGGTATTGCTACCCCATGAGTAAACCTATTAGAGAAACATATGAAAGCAGGTAAGGGTTGTGAATTTGACCTTGTAGTTAACTCTGAACTAGTTTCATAATAATGTATACACAGCATTACACATTAACAACTCACAGTAGTCTTTACATATATATTTTAAAAATAACACATATCAAGAAAACAAATTTTAAACAAGATCAAAGATAATGGGTATGTATAGTACACATGAAGATGTAATGGGTACACAGATTACACATGAAGACACAGAAAGGAAGTTAGCAACACCTGACTTTTAACAGGTGTTTACCACCCACAGGTCCGGTTCTTAACACTTGCTGCTTATCAGTCGATGTTTAATTTCCACAACATTTTAAAAAAAAATTTTTAGTTGACATTTTACTGATAAAAACTGGTCCAGAAAGGTTAATTAAGTTACCCAAAGCAACACACTGGAAAATGACAGAATCAGTATTTAAATCCAGAAACTATCGTATGCTCCTACACAGAGAGTGATAAATAAAGGCAAGGACTATAAGGAAATTAATCATGATTCTTTACTCTGAAGATAGGAACACTTTGGAATTATTTACATATAAGGTTCCTTCCTATATAAACACCTACGTTCCTACTACAGATAAAAACTAAAATATAACAATATTTAATTTAAATGGCTTTGTTTAACCTGGTTATAAAAGTGACTCATGGTCACTGTCTAACACTGTCACAGTAAAACAAAACAAGAAACAGAAAATGAAAATACTGATGACTCTACCGCTGTCTAGGGAACATATATCCTTCCAGAAAACTCAATGTCTACTAGCTATAATACATATAAAATATAAAAGGATAAAACAGGATCACACTACAAATGCCTCTTTGTGATCTGATTTTTTTCTTAATGTTATGAATTGACATTTTAGCTTTTAAAGAAATCTGCATCTAAATATACATCTACAACATGATTTTTTAATATCTACATAGAAGACTGTAGATATAGTTTAATCAAGTGGCTGCTGCATTTTAAAACTCTAATTTAATATTAACGAAAAATACAAGTGGGAATTGTAATGCGGTAGGTTGGGTCAGCTCTTGGAATACCTGTATCCCATAACTGAAAGCCTGGGACCAAGTCCTGCCTGCACTTCCAATCCAGCTATCCAGCTTCCTCTTGATACACACCCCAGGAGTACTTGGGCCCAGCACCCTCATGGAACTCCTGCCTGGATGAAATGCCAGACTTCTAACTATGGTCTGGCCCAGCCCTGGTTGTTGTGAGCATTTGGGGAATGTACCAGCAGAGGAAAGTTTGTCACTGTGCTCTTCGAATAAATTTTTAACAGTAAAGTTTTTAAAAAGATATTTTAAGTCCTTGAGTGCATACGTATATTTGTGTATCTAATGGTTCCAACTGTATTTAGTGAATATTCAGTCCTGCTTTCATAACTGATTTGAAAAGCTCACCTGTATCAGATCCTAAATTCTCACCTGTACATTTGGATTTATGTCTAGTCTATAAGCATATTTTCATTCCACTAATCTGTTAGTAATTTTCTAATATGTTTTATAAAGGTAAAGTTTATTTTTCCTTTCTATTCTTTTTGCAGAATTTCCTTGGCTCACCTCTATTTATTCTCTTACAACAATTTTGGAATTATTTTGCTGAGTTGGAAATATCGTACTGGAATTATTTTTGCAACTGTACTGAATTTACACTGGAGTGACTTGATGATAAAGAAATATTTTTGAAACATTGATACTTCTCATTTCCCCTCCCCCCCCCAAAAAAAAGCTTGCTTTTAATGTCTGCTTTGTTTCTTGACCTTTTAAAAGAGCTCTAAAGTCAGTGTCGTATGGACTCTGCATTTCCTGGTAGAATTATCCCTATCTTTGCAATAGTTTGCAACTGTCAGCAGCTTCTCCCCCACATGCATTTTCTGTCTCACTGTATGTAAATAAGAAATCCAGTCATTTTAATTGTGCAGTTGACCTAATTAATCTTCTTCATATGTCAGGAAGTCTTCTGGATGATTCAGCATGTAAACAGCAACAAATCTTCCTTCCCTTTCCTAATACTAATGTAACCTACATAAACATTAGTATTAGTTCAATTTAAAATAAAATCTAATATTTGAAGCTTTCAGGATTCTTTATATTGGCTTTCTGAAAAGATCAAGGAATTGGGCTCGGCATGATAGCCTAATGGCTAAATCCTCGCTTTGCATCTGCCAGGATCCCATATAGGTGCCTGTTTGTATCCCAGCTACTTCATTTCTCAGTCAGCTCCCTGCTTGTGGGCTGGGAAAGCAGTGGAGGATGGCCCAAAGCCTTGGGACCCTGCATCTAAATGGGAGATCCGGGGGAAGTTCTTGGCTCCTGGCTTCGTATCAGCTCAACTCCAGCCATTGCAGCCACTTGGGGAGTGAGCCACTGGACGAAAGATCTTTCTCTTTGTTTCTCCTCTATATATCTGACTTTCCAATAAAAATAAAGTAAATCTTAAAAAAAAAAATCAAGGAATTTGTGAAAAATCATTATTTGAATACACTTACAAACAATTTTAAATGCCTTCTTTGCCAAGGAGGGTATTCGCATCTATAGGGAAGGTTTTAAGGAATGCTGGAGATTACTTTCAGGTTCGACAATGTACAAGGAAAGATCTTTTGTTTTTGTTCTTTCATGTCCTGTTATAGATTTTCTTCATCAAAGAACAAACAAAAATTCAGCTCCCTGGGAAATTTAGAGTTTAGGTTTAAACGAGATCATGTTCTAGCCAGGTTCTTAGCCCAGAAGAACAGCGTGCAAATGAAAGCTCTAGTATTGTGTATGACTCCAGATAAGTCACGTTAATTCTCTGGTCTACTTTCCTCTTCTGTAAACTGGAAACAACAGCATGAAAGAGAGAGAGAGAGAGAGAGAGAGAGAGAGAGAGAGCAGAACATTCAAACAAGATATAGTATTGCTGCCTAACCACAGCAGATACTCAGTTCTGCCTAACTGGCTATCTGTGAAAGTAAGATCAGCACTCACTGGTTTGCCTCTCACCTGGGATTTCGCAGTTAGAGCGAGAGAATGGTAATCGCCAGCCTCCAGGTGGATGACTTCTTTACCATCCAGACATTTCACACACAGCGGCTGAAGCCTTGAAGAAACACACACACACACACAAGAACACATATGACGTCTAAGTCTCTGCAGCGAGACTCACACCTTTCTCAGATCACACAGCAAATGGCTTCAAGTAAATAAATATTCCCAAAGAAATGGTTAAAATAATGGGGGTGGAGGGAGCAGATGCTTAAGACAATCTATATGCCACTTGGCATGCCAGCATCCCATAACAGTTTCCAGGTTTAAGCCCTGGTTCCATTTGAGGCCAGCTTCTTTCCATGGCACACCCCAGGAAGTAGCAGGTGAGGCCTCAAGGAGTTAGGGCCCTGTCACTCAAGTGGGAACCCAGACTGAAAACTAGGCTACTGGTTCCAGCCTGGTTTAGTTCCTGCTGTTGTAGGCATCTGGAGAGTGAACCAGCAGATAAAAGATGCTCTCTCTCCCTCTCTCTCTTAAAAAATTAAATACATAGACTTTTTCTAAATCAAAAATCGATATATGTTCATTTTACATTTAAATATTATCACTTGGGAAGGTTTTTACTTTAATCATATGTTAATTGTGACTAACTGCCATAATCCAGAATTATGAAATCATGTAACTTCAAATGATTCATTATAGCAGAGTATACTTGGGACACAATGAAGTATAAAAATAGAGAGCAAAATAAGGTAATTAAAAAAAAAAAGACATCATTGTCTCCCCTGTTCCAAGAACAGACATTTCTATTAATTCACTTTGTAATCATTGTATTTACAGACCCACAAATGTCATACATATTGTGTCTCTTACATGCTAACAGTTCCTACTAAACCAAACGAGTGTTTCCCTAGTTTATGTAGATTAACAGTTTATTGCCTTTGTTATAATTATTTTGACAGTGTCAGAGAAATACCTTTCAGGGAAAAAGAACCTTTGGCTCTTTTTATCAATTAAAAATTTGCACCACTAGGGTATTCCAATGAAATGCCTTCTTATCCCTACCACTCCTTTTGGTACTCCAAAATAATCACGCATCAAAGCAGCAGCAACAGGGTGCATCAAGAATGCTGAAGCCCTTTGCTGTCAGGAGCAAATTCAAGACCCAAGGGACAGCTTCTTATCAAAGCTGAACTGCACAACCGTTTGTGGGCAGAAGACTTCCTCCAGGAGGAAACGGACATTACAGACCTTCCCAGCACAGAGGTTATCTGTCCCTGTCGAGGTCGGGTTCCTGGAGGCACTCACCTTGGCAGCACGTCGCCATGGCCCAGCTGCCCTTCCTTCCCTTTCCCCCAGGTCCACACCTCTGTCCGCAGGGAAGGTAGGAGGGCATCTGCTTCTCCGCTGTACGTGGGGGTCAGAACCACAGTTCTCGTCTTCACCCGAGCAGCCTTTCTTAAAAGCCTGGGGGAGACTGCCAACAAACCAGAGAGCAGGGTGGAGGGGTGAGGACCGGGAGAATTAACTCCGAAGCAGAAGAATTACAGAGAAATGCACTTACACGGTGTTTTCAAAACACATCCTTACAGGTTCTAGGCAGTCAACAGGATTTCAGTTGTGGAATAAGATTGGTAAATGCCTCCCCACACTTTCGCCCATCTTTCCTCCCAACCCTGCAGAGATGTGTGTGTGTGGGCGTGTGTGTGTGGCACACCAATGTGTCAGTGTATAGAAGGCGCTCACAGGTCCCGTAATGAAAAGCTCTGTTCACATGTGCTTAACTCAGCCCCATTTCCATGTTTTCAGCTACACAGACCGCTTCTGTGTACCTCTAGTGATAACCTCTAGAACCTGCATTCTCAAGAATGGGCTGAAAAAAACATTAAACTAAGGTGAATGAATATTTCCCCATTTCAGAGCAGAGTTAAAAGCTAAGCATTCCCAAGGTAAAGTCCAAATCCAATTGCATTGTAAAAAGATTCATTTTGAAGTTTCCAAATTTCAAAGATAGGGAAAGATTATGAAGGGAAGTACTAAAAGTTTTGATACTTTCCTGCATACTTTAAATTATTCTATGGAGTACTTGAACAGTCTTGTAAAAGAAGACTGCTATCTCTCAGCATTCAAAATCATAATAGATGCATACAAGAGATACTATGTATATCTCATACTAATTTATACTAATTTGGTGCCAACTTAGGTTTTGAAAAAAATCATCAAATGTCATCCCAGTCGGGCCTGGCGCGGTGGCGCAAGTGGTTAAGGTCTTCGCCTTGCACACCCAGGATCCCATAGGGGCACTGGTTCTAATCCCAGCAGCCCCGCTTCCCTTCCAGCTCCCTGCCTGTGGCCTGGGAAAGCAGTCAAGGACGGCCCAAAGCTTTGGGACCCTGCACCCGCGTGGGAGACCCAGAAGAGGCTCCTGGCTTTGGATCGGCATAGCATTGGCCGTTGCGCTCACTTGGGGAGTGAATCATCGGACGGAAGATCTTCCTCTCTGTCTCTCCTCTCTGTATATCCGCCTTTCCAATAAACAAAATAATAAAAATAAAATCTATAAAAAAAATGTCATCCATAAATTAAGTTCCCTCACATTTCCATCAAGTTCACACATTAAGCTGATGTCACTGGTCTGCAGGCCAATTTTGAGAAGACAAGGTCTATGTGATCTAGACTGCTAAGCAGACACAGAAATACAAACTAACCGTGTAATACAGTTAGCACCCTAAACAGATTCTGCCTGATGGGTATTTGGAGCAAGAGTGAAGTTACCTCTCAGAACACCTGCACACCCTAGAGGACAGCCTGGATTGAAGTCCTGGCTCAGCTTTCCATCCAGCTCCCCGTTAATGAACACCCTGGGAAGCATCAGGTGGTGACTCATGTACTTGGGCTCCTGCCTTCCACATGGAAACCCTAGGTTGTGTTCCTGGCTCTTAGCCACAGCCTGGCCCAGCCGCAGCTGTAGCTAACACTTGGGGAATGAACCAGTGGGTGTTAGATCTCTCTGTGTATGTCTCTAGCGCTTTTTGCTGCTCTGTTTTTCAAATAAAACATTTTTTGGTAATAACATCTTATTGTGGATGGTTTTTCTTACTGAGATTTTAAAAATGAGTCCCTCCTTCAGGTAAAGTATTATATAACAATTCCTCACTTACGTAACAGTCACATCAAAACCTCAGCAATCTGGCTTCCAATCAGTAAACAAGGCTGCTGTTAACACTCTAGAACACAATTCTTCATGTTTATTAGCAAAAGTAGTCATAAAAGGTATGCTCGACTATCTTAACGGGCAATTATGTACTTTTACTTTTTTTGAAAAAATTTTAACAGCTATGTAAAATATACATATTTATGCGTTACTGTGTGATATTTCTATCCATATAGGGCAGACATATCTATATTTCTGAATACTCAATACTTCATAGTTCAAAGCAGCTCTAGGTGTTTTATTGACAGCTTTATTAACTAAGAATGCTCACTTGTTTTAAATGGAGCGCATGTCAAGGACATAGTTGATTGGACAAAAGTCAGTTCACACACCTTGGTTATTTCCTTACCTTGTGACAACAAACCAGGGAGGGAGAGTCTTCGACTGCCCCCCTCAGATTCCTCCTCTCGGATATCCACAAGACTCGAACTCTTCTTCCCTTGCATGGATTCCTGTTTGACCTGCTCTTCTCTGCTATCCTTCAGGCCTTCTGGGCCTAGTGTACTGCTGCCTGCCTGCACTCCAGGCTCACAAGGGGCTGTGCTATAAAAGTTCATCACTTTCTTAAGAGACAAGGCCCCAGCTTCATAGGTCGCCGCCACTCTCACACCAACAGCAGATGCACAAGAGACCACCAGGCTGTTGAGGGCAGAGGTGCTTGTGGTTGGTGGGCTGTGAAGATTAGGAATTGCTTCTTCTACAAGAGGCTAAAATACACACACACACACACACAAGAGAGCAGGTGAAAATATCATCCCTTATCCCAGAGGCAACAATTTTAGTTAAACAACCATTCCTATTTGTATACAGGAATCCACAGGAGGAGGACATCTCTTCATCTCCAGCTTACAGGTGCCCCATCCTCAGAGCACACATAGAATCAGTACATAACATGGCAACAACTGACGAAAGCACACTTCCTTGCATTTATATATCAGAAAGTGAAACTGTTAAATGAATGACTTACACTATTGTAATGATTTGGGAAAAAAATGAGGGAGAAAGAGTTGAAAAGTGGGTGGGGGAGGGAGGATCCCCTATGCTGCTAAGTCTGCATTGTAAAAAATAACTCAAACAGACTCATTTTATATAGATTAAGAAAAAGTAGATCTTTTGGCAAAAACTTTTTGGTCCCTTTTGCCTGGGTGCTGTATTTTTCCCATGACATTTACAGATAAGTCCTAGCTGCTTTTAAGAGGCTAAGCACAGTAGAAGAGGAGGAAGGAGGAAAGGTATGGAATATACAGCTTTGTGTAACATGACAACCTCTGTTTTGATTGGACAAATTCAAGCTTATTGATGATTGTTTTTAGGAAAATTGCCTAGGCTGCTACTAAGAAACAGAAGGAATTGGTTGCATTTTAAAAAGAAAAGGCTTTTTCTAAAATGTTTTACAAAATGGAAACCTAACATAGCATGTAAGTAGAAAGACGAGGTATAACTTTGACCTATCTTACCCCAAATTGTTTTGTTGAGTTCAAATCCTTCTATGTCTCATTAATGAGTTATTTTCCATGGCCCAGGGACTAGATAAGCTGAAGGATGTGTTTGCTTTTGCTACCACTGAGGGTAGAGGTAGTAGGTTAATAATTAAACATTTGGAACCAATGTTCCAAGTGTGAGTCATGGGTGTATTAGAAAATCAAACTACAGTTTCATAATACAGTTGAAACTTCTCTATGCTGTCACATCCTTTTTTTAAAGAAAAGTCATTAAATTTACCTAGCACACACAGAGAATATTTCTGCTTACAAGGCAGATAATGAAAAATCTGCTTTTTATTCTACTCAATAATCCCAAGAGAATGCATGTACTCCTAAATGTCCCCTGAACTGAAAAGTAAATGAATAAATATTTTCTAAAAATCCTGGCTCCTTACTGTCTTAAGTAAGACAATTCCTGTTGCCTGGCACAATGGTGAATTAAACACCAAATCTGGAAGAGCTACTTCTGTGCAAGTGATTTGCAATTAAAACAAGCAACAAAATAAATAAGCATAGCACGTAAAACGGAAGACAAATTGAAAGTTGATCCTTTCTGTGGTGACAGAATTCTCACAACTCGTTCAGAAGAACTAACTGCCCTCTGTTTCCAGGGCTCGTTACAGGCAGCAGGGTATTTAGAGGGGAGTACTTTACAGGGTTACTACCATCAGGCAGTAAAAAGCCACAAAGCTCCACATCTTATAAACCTCAAACTGATTTCTAAATGGCTCCTTCTACTTAATTAAAATAAGGATACGGTAAATAAATAAATGTACCAAAACAACAACAATACACATATGATCAGCAATTTTGCTGAAAGGCAACTTGACAGGTCCTGGCCAACCAGTAATATTTTAGTTTATTTCACAAATATCATACAGACTCTTGCTTTTTATATCCTAACTCACTTAAGTTCTCATGAATATGCTATGTAATGGAAATGCTACTTACAAATAATGAATTCAATTTAATAAAAACACACATTGCCAAAACTAGTACAAATTACAAAAACTAAATATCACGTAAGTCCAAAAGAAGTAAAGGTAGTAGTTTAATTATGGAAATCAAATAAACAATATGTAATACTTTCATATTTAAAACTTAACAAATTAGAGTAATAATTTGCAAAAAGACAAACTTTTTCACAGCCATATACAGTGTAAGAATTCTCCACATACATTCTTGTTGAAGCATTATTTTCTTTGCTTTGTTTATATTTTTACATCCTTCAACGAATTACACTTAATTTTTTTAAAATTCAAATATCCATATAGCTTGCTTATTAGATTGTGAAATAAAGACCAATTCTAAAAAGACTCCCATATTCTGATCTCAACAAAGTAAATAACAAGAATAAAGAATCAAAAAGCTATGTGGTTCAAAAAAATCTAAAAAAAAAAAAGTTTTTAAATTAAAAACACACAAGAACACAAGAGAGTTCTTGTACAATTTGGTTTGTATGTTTGATTTGGTTGTACTTTATAAAGTTTTGTGTTGTGTAACAATGGTTACACTACTCATTATGATCCATTTGGTTTTGTCAATGAGATTTAGACTTCACTGTATGCTTCTGCCAAGTAGCTTATACCCATGTCACCAGTTTCCAAAATGAGAACTGCTTAAGAAAATGTTACCCCTCAGCAAACCCCTTAAGGACCACAGCTGGACCTGATGAGAAGCTTAAACAGCACATGATGGCGGAAGCTCTTTGGTCTGCCTACAATTCAAGGACCTTCATTGCTGCAGGAAAGAACTTTACCAGGCAGAACTAAGAAGAGGCACAAATACAAGCCACAAGAACATCAGTGGGAGCCTGGAGCCATAGTCTAATGGTTAATCCCTTGCCTTGCCTCTGTCAGGATCTCACATGGGTGCCAGTTCATGTCCAGCTGCTCCACTTCCCATCCAGCTCCCTGCTTGTAGCCTAGAAAAGCAATTGAGGATGGCCCAAAGCCTTGGGACCCTGGATCTATATGGGAGACCCAGAATCAACTCCTGGCTCCTGATCAGTTCAGTTCCAGCCACTTTGGCCACTTCAGAGTAAACCAGTAGGTGGAGGATCTTTCTGTCTCTCCTTCTCTCTGTAAAATCTGACTTTCCAATAAAAAAATCTTTTAAAAAGTAAAACACAAAAAGAACCACAGTGGATATGTGAGGGGTTTTGAAGCTGTGTAAAATGCACACTATGAAAATCTACACTAAGGCCAGCGCTAGGGCATAATGGGTTAAGCCACTACTTGCTGCATAGCATCCCAGAAGGGCACCAGTTAGAATTCCAGCCTCTCCATTTCAGGAACAGCTCCCTACTTATACACCTGAGGAAAATGGCCCAAGTCTTGGCTCCCTGCACTCACATGAGAGACCTGGATGAAATTCCTGGATCCTGGCTTCTCCTGGCCCTGCCTTGGTCATTTCAGCAATTTGGAGAGACAACCAGCAGATAGAATGTCTCTTCTTTTTTCTATATAACTATACCTTTTCATATATACATATATATACATATATATATATATATATATATAAATAAATCTTCCTAAGACTAAAGAAAAAAATGTATGCATGAATTTAAAAAAAAAAAAAAAAGCTAAACCAAAACCCTGAGGTTTTAATTTCAGTTTTCCAGGAACTTCCTGAAGTACCCTGATACAGCTATATTAAAATATCCAAGGGTTCCCCAAAATTCAACACTTTAGCCATGGGGAGAAAAGCACTAGAGGGAAGTGGGATTCTTCTTACAAAGCAAGCTCAACACGACTTCTTTCAACTTGGTAACAGGCCACAACTTGATTAATCCAAATCTTTTCCTTACCTAATCAAATTCCAAAAAAGGTCACCAAGTCTTAAGCACTGAAAATTTCTAAAGGAAAATTCAGAGGATTCAACCCCAGCAGCAGCTTTAAATTATAAAATGCAGAGGTACCTGAGATGGCACTGGCTTCTCACTGTTCTCTGATTCCCCTCTCACCGAATGGCCCGACAGTTTCCCCAAGCATTCATTCACAGCCTGGGCGTTGGGGTGTGATGGAGTGTTCCCGGCAGAGGAAACTTCCACTGTTCCCATTTCTGCTTGGGAGGAGTTGAGGTTGCCGCTGGTGGTTTCAATGCTTTTCTCCTTCAGTTCGGCAGCAATGGGCCCATCACGTTCTGTGGGAGTGTTCTCGAATACTTCTCCCTGACTGTCAAGGGTGTCCACGGAGGGGCTGATGGCAGTGCTGGAATGGCTCTCTGCCTGGGACTCTGACAGAGCCACTCCCAGTGGGCAGCAGTGACTGTCGGATATAATCACATGGTCCTCTTTGTCAGTCATGGTAATCAGCAGCTGGCTGCACTGGGTGCATCTTTCTGGGACCGGCTTCAGGTCCTGGGAAGGCAGGCACTGCACAAGCGCTAGGCTGTGGAACGCACCACATGCAACCTGTAGCACCACACGCCCGGCCAGATGTTCCACCTTCTGTGGCTTGGTAACCGGGAAGGTGGTGGTGATGAAACCCAGCTGGCAGCCCGTACCCCATGCCCAAATCTCTCTGCTTATTGACAGTGCCAGCGTGTGCTCCTCACCACAGGCCAACTGCAGAATCCTGACTGCTAACAAGGGGCTGCTATCCGAATCACAAATGCTGACAGGGTTCGGCTCCGGCACATACTGCTGATTGGCAACGGCACACTGGCCGGCAGAGTTTTCCCCCCACATGTATACCACGCCACTTTCGGTCACCGCTCCACTATGAAAACTCCCTGTCGCCACAGTAACAACACGTTGCCCAGCCAGGGCATTTTCCAGAACAGGGCTGCTTGGGCAAATCTCCACTGAGTCATTTCTCCAGGGAAGGGTCCCAAAGCTGTAGACCTCACCATCTGAAGTCAAAGAAGGGGGAAAAAAGGAGAGGTTAGTGAGTTAACTGTGAATTAACTAGAAATTTTATCAGCAAACCTTTAAGCCCTTCTAGATTTTATAATAAGATTAGAACTATTTTCTTCAAAGGATAATTTTGGAAACTTGGTAGAGGCACACAGTATTTCATACTTACTCACCATAAAAATTTTTTTTTTAATTTTTTTGTTTTATTCAGGAGACGGAAAAAGAGCGGGAAGCAGGGGACAGGCACTTTCATCTGATGGTTTACTCTCCAAATGACTGTAATGGCTGAAGCCAGGAACCTGATATGCAATTCAACTCTCTCTTGCAGATGGCAGGAATTCAACTACTGGAGCCATCGCCACCTACTCCTACAGTTTGTGTTGCCAGGAACCTGGAGCCATGAGCCAGCACCAGGAATCAAACTCAAGTACCCCCGTGTTGGATGCAGGTGTCTTAACCATCAGACTAAACACTTGCTCTCAATGAGAATTTGCACAAACTGCAAGAGGTAACTTACATTCAACTAAAGGGTCTCATTCTCTCCTGCCTCATCCTACAAACCCCTTATATGGACCCCCTCCTAATGACTATTATCACAGGCAGCTACAGAGGCAGATTCCAAAAACTCAAAGACAAAAGAATAACCAGGTTAAGATGAGAACAAAATAAGATAAAAAAAAAAAAAGACACATTTGTCACGTTATCTGTAAAGTTGACTTATCACTAAGTCTGACAACAGAAAATTCTGCAAGGGCCAAAACTGAAAAATAATCCTTGTTTCAAGATTACAAAAAAGGAATCAGCATTAACAAAGCAGTTAACCTCATATTATATGTAATTTTTGGATGCAATTTATATTGCTTACTGGATACTAAATAGCCTTTCTGAAGTGAGACTTATTTATGAAGCAAATCAGCAAATGAAGCTGTCAGACTAAATGGATAGCTTTAGAACTAAAAGTAAAAGCACCAGTGAGATGGGTAAAAGAATATATCACCCCACTGTGTTCAGTCTCAATTTGACATCAGCCCCGGGGGAGTTTGGGAGTGTGTGCCTATGCTCCAGCTGGTCGAATCTTCAACAGAACAAAGACGTGGCTACGAGTCTTAAAGAACTGAACATTCTTTTCCATCTCACCAGATACATCCCAATTTTAAAATGAACAAGTACTATTCTTTCCCCAGAAAGCAATCATTGATGGAAAACAAATGCAAAGTGACTTATATAAAGCAGATACTCAAGTGAAGTCAAATATATATTTAAAAATATAGTACTGAAAGTGACTGTGGGGCCCCGGCACAGTAACCTAATGGCTAAAGTCCAGCCTGGCAAACACCGGGATACCATATGGGCACTGGTTTGTGTCCTGGGGGTCCAGCTTCTCATCCAACTCCTTCCTGCTTGTGGCCTGGGAACGCAGTTGAGGATAGCCCAAAACCTTGGCACCCTGTACCCACGTGGGAGACCCAAAGAGTTCCTGGCGTCAAATTAGCTCAGCTCTAGATAGTGTGATCACTTTGGGACTAAACCATCACTTGAAAGATCTGCTATGCCTGCTCCATAAAATCTGCCTTTGAATAAAAATAAATAAATTCTTTAAATACACACACATAAAAATGTTTGTGTACAGAATTTAACCCATAGCTCAGCAAATATGTAATTCTTATAAAAAGGCGTGGGGGTGGGCAGGCAGGTGTTGTGGCACAGCAGCTTAGCCACCACCTATGCTGGCATACCATATGAGCACCAATTTGAGTGCTGCCTGCTCTATCTTCAGTCTTGCTCCCTGCTAAGGCCTCTGGGAAGAAGAGCAGTTCATTCTGACCTAGCCCTGGCTGTTGGGGCCATTTGTAAAATGAATCAAAGATGGATCTCTCCTTCCTTCTTTCATTCTAACTCTGCCTCACAAATAAAATCTTTAAAAAAGTTTTTTTTTAATCCATGTAGGGAAGAACACAGTAGTCGCCAGAAAGAAGATAGGTGCCCTTGTTAGGGAATTTGGAGTTTACACAGAGAAAACAAGGAAAATAAGCTCTTTGGTTAAGATCATGTTAAATGTTTTCCCATGTGATAGAATAACATGCTTGCAACAGCTCACCAACTCTTTCAATAGCTACTATCCCAGTAAAGAAAGCAGTATTGACAAGAAGCATAGAAAAAGATGTGAAACAGTAAAATGTCCTCAACCAGGAATTTCTTCTGGAGCTCCTACGGAGATGGCCGGTGACCAAGTACTTAGACCATCTTCTATTATCTACCAGATGCATTAGCAGGAAGCTAGATTTAAAGCAGGGCAAACGGCGCCTGAATTGGCATTTTGACACAGGATGCCAGGGTTGCAAGAGGTGGATGAGCCTGCCATACCTCAACACCAGCCTCCAAAATCCATCCTTTTACTGTAGTTATTGGTATGTATCCAGTTTAAGAACTAACCTAGGGGCTGGTACTGTGGCAGAGTGGGTTAACCTCAGCCTGTGGTGCTGGCTCCTGTGTGGGGGCTGGCTTTAAGCCCCAGTTGCTCCAGTTTTGATCCAGCTCGCTGCTCTTGTTCCTGGAACAGCAGAGCATGATGATCCAAGTCCTTGGGCTCCTGCACTCACATGGGAGGATCCCAGCTCCTGCCCTCGGACTAGCCCAGCTCTGGCCACTGTAGTCATTTGGTGTGAACCAGCCAATGGAAGACTTCTCTTTCCATTTCTCTCTATAAATGTGACTATCAAATACCAAATAAATATTAAAAACAAACAAATAAGCAAACCTAATTTGGTTTCTGATAAAAAACATTTTAAAATCAAAGAAAGTACAAGATCCAACCAAGTTCACTAAGAACCCCTATTTACCCAGAATTCCTTGGCCTGGTCTCACTCATGGGTGTGTATAGACATATTGGTAGCCTGGTCTTACACACAAGGACGTGTGTGGGCATGCTGGTGTCCTAGTTTCACACACACATGTGTGTGCAAGCATGCTCGTGGCCAGGTTTCACACACAGCTGTGTGTGAGCATGCTGGGCCATTCTTTAATACCTTCCGTCAGAAGAACTCCATGCTTCACACCAAGGGCTGCTTGCAGAACCGTTTTTCCTCCCCAGCCTGGCAATCTCTCCGGAGCAACCAAAAAAGATCCTGCTGGCCAGACATGGACCAGGCCTCTTTCTTTGGATCCTTCTGCTTCTGTGGAACTACAAACACCAAGAAAAGATCACACATTTGTCTTGGAAGCTCAGAATCGTATCCTTTGTTGTAAATATTTTACATGTGATCACACTTTTCACCAGCATATGGATGGCTGGTTCAATTGCATCCTCTTGGTTATTACACAGCAGCTGAGAGAAAATAACTTTTCATTTAAAAATGCAAGAGGATAATCTAGGCCCACACATTACTTAACTACCCCTAAGCAGCCAAAAATAAACAAACAAACAAACAAACAAAAAAAAACCCTAGGGGCTGTTTGGGGAAGTCTTTTGATTTGACAGCAAAAAATTTCAGGATTCTAACTTTCGAATATACTAACCCTTTGTTTTAATTGATATTAAAGTTAAAACATGCTCTAAAGTGAAGCCTTACTTTGAAATTTCAGTTTAGAGTTGGTGCTATGGTTACATTATGAATTGGGTCCTAAACTTAGGCAAGACTTTCAAACCCTAGACCAAAGCTAATGGTACAGAAAAGGTGGAAACTTGATCTGATTATGTTGTTCAGAAGACAGAGCATAACAGGAGGCTCTTGGGTTCTCAGATTGTGCCCTCCCAAGAGGGGGCTACTTAAATCTCCCCATATGATCCTTCCTGTGCACCACTGCAATCCATCACCTTCACAGAACCTAGGAAACTGGGCCACCCAAACTGCACTTGAACATCCAAAACTGTGAGCTATATAACACATTTTTGCTACTAGATTGTTGCCTCAGGTATTTGGTTATAGGAATGAAAATCTGACTAATACAATTGGTAAAGAGGGTATTTGATGAGGAAAAATTACAAACAGAAATCTATTCTATTTAATGCTGAGTTTAAATCTATACATACTACTCAAATTTTTAATTTGTAAAGATTGTTAGTAGATATATAATACCTACATACTTAGAGTGCATGGCATGATATTTTAATGAACACAGGCAATGTGTTATGATTGGAGCAGGATAACTGGCACTTCCATCACCTCAAACGCTTACCATTTCTTTGTGTTGAGGATATTCAAAAACCTTCCTTGCTGGTTTCAAATATATAATTAATTGTTGTCTACCCTGGTTACTGCTGTGCAGCACTGAACATTAGAGGTTATTCTTCCTATACTACTGCACTCTTGTTCCTAGCTGATATCTTCTCACCACCACACACCAACCTGGCCTCTGGTAACCCCCGGTCCACTCTATCTCAGGTGAGATGAACTTTGTTAACATCCATATATAAGTGACAACACATGGTGTTTATTTCCTGAGCCTGATTTGTTTCACTTAACATAATATTCCCCAGTGGTGCAAATAACAAGATTTCATTCTTTGTTACAGTTAAATAATATCCTATTGTGCATGTATACCACATTTCCACTATCTATCCATTCACTGGCAAGCATCTAGATCAATTCTATATCTCAACTACTGTGAATACTACCACTGCAGGCATGGGAGTGCAGGTATTTCTTAAGGCATGCTGATTTCCTCTCCTTTGGTTATATACCCAATAGCCAGCAGCTGGAAACTTAATACAGCTCTCCCACAGGGTGGTGGAAACTCAACTATTGGAACCATCATTTGCTGCCTCTCAGGGTATACATTAGCAGGAAGCTGAAACTGGAAGTAAAGCAAGGCCTAGAACTCAGGCACTACAATCTGCATGCACACAGCCCACACAGTGCCTGAACCACTATGCTTAACACATGCCTCTGCTGCTGAAATTTTAATGAGGCACAAAAACTTCTTTAAATACCTAACAATTTCTCCACTTTTATTAAACAATATTCCCTTATACTGTAACTGGGAGCAACAATGGTTCCGTGGAAGAGAAACACAAAAGTAAGCTTCTTTTTAAACATCTCTCATGACTAGTTTCCTAAAGACAGAAGATAACTGCAATTAGTAAGGCTACTTCTGAAAACCTGAAATTGTTCAAAAATAGTGAGGAGAGTTTTAAAGTTATGAAATTAAGATATCTTCTGGAGGGCGCTTTATAAAGCATAATAAAGAAGCAACAAAACTTACAACTAATCAACTTTCTTTTAAAAAGCTTCTATTTCCACCTGAATATATCTATATATCTATATATATCACCCCCCCCTTAATCACCATCAGCAAGAACAGGTTAGCTGGGACTGGACTTCTGGCCTCCCGAGATGCTTGTGCCATACATCAGAGTGTCAGGGGCACTCCTGGTTCCAACTCCAAACTCTAGCTTCCCACTGAGACACACCCCAGGAGGCGGTGATGATGATTCAACTGAGTTCCTGCCATCCACATGGGAGGCGTGGAGTATGTTTTTGGCTTCTGGTTCTGACCTTGGCCCAGTTCCAGCCACCACAGGCATTTGGGGACGAATACAAGAGTATTCTCTATGTCCATCTGCCTGTCAATCCCTCTGCCTCTCCTTCCCTCTCTCTCTCAAAATGTTTTTCAAAAAGAAACAAAGAAAATTAATCTGAAGGCAAGTTCCACATGTGTGGAGTGTTTGTTGTGTTTTCCTAGGATAGAAGAAGGGGAAGAAGTGGCTTTACCTTTTTCTCTTTGAGTCCATCGGTCAGTGGGAACACTCCATCACCAAATCATTCCCTTTGCAACTAGCATCCCAAGACCTAAATGGCAATACACAAGGTTAGCACAAAGAGCAGTGAAAGAATACTGTGATGTCTTATCTTTCTGATGAAAGAAAGAAGTACACATTCACTGGGCAACAACATATGTGGGGGAACTATTTAAACTATTTCATATCTTGCCTGCCAAAGTCAAACATCGAGACTGAGCCTGCCCACCGAGCTTATAAAAAATGCCTGCTGATTGTCAAATACAGTATCCAAACAAGAAAAGACTACCTATAATTCAGTTGTGCTCTTCCAAGAACAGATTTTGTTTTGTTGTTAATATGAGATGAGAATTTGAAATAAAAAATCAATGGTAAGTGCAAAATCACATATATATTAAGGGCATTTTAAAAATTACTTCAGAACACATGAAGATTTAAATGCTAATCAACTGAAAAATATTTTTTCTCAATTCTAGTCAGAAATATATCCAATTTAAATAGCTTTACTTGCATTCTCAGCAATGCACAAAACTGTCACTAAGGTTTTCCATTTATTAGAACCATAGTATTTTCTCCATATCAACCTCAATTCAAGACCAACATGCCTCAAAGTCCAAAAACCTGAATTGGAATTTAAAATTAGCTTTTTAAAATCCATCATTTTGGGCCCGGCGCGGTGGCGCAGTGGTTAAGGTCCTCACCTTACATGCCCGGGATCCCATATGGGCGCCGGTTCTATCCCGGCAGCCCCGCTTCCCTTCCAGCTCCCTGCCTGTGGCCCGGGAAAGCAGTCCAGGACGGCCCAAAGCTTTGGGACCCTGCACCCACGTGGGAGACCCGGAAGAGGCTCCTGGCTTCGGACCGGCATAGCATTGGCCGTTGCGCTCACTTGGGGAGTGAATCATCGGACGGAAGATCTTCCTCTCTGTCTCTCCTCTCTGTATATCCGCCTTTCCAATAAACAAAATAATAAAAATAAATCTTTAAAAAAAATCCATCATTTCAGAAAAAAAGAGCTACTGGAAAAAAAAAAAACTACTGTACCACTAGCATGACCCATCAGTTTAGAAAGTCAATGTTTGATTAAAAAAAAAAAAGTCTGGAAAAATAAGCAAACACAAAGAAGTGCTAATCAAACCTGAACTTAAAAATTCACATTTCGAAGGGGCCAAAACTTTATACGACAAAAGGCAATGCGGTCTTACTTGCATGACCCATAAAAATCTTATGTCCAAATCTGTAGTTTTTCTGCAAAGGGATATTGCATGGTCACTGCGCTGGAAACAGCCCATCCTGGCAGTAGGGCTCTCAGGTCCATCTGCCGACTCCAGGTTGCCTGGGCACCCTCACCATGCCCATCTGCGTAGCTGGAGCAAAGCCCCTTCTACCTAGCGCTTGTTTTAAGTGAATTTTGCACCATCCAAAAATGGAAGAAGGGTTCTATGAAAAGAAACATATATGAATAAATGGTATTTATAAGTGCAATCACTAGGTGCTACTCTGCTTTACGTATTATAGTAATTCACAGTAACAACATCTAACAGTTCATGGTGCATTCTAAAGCCAGGAGTGATGGGGGCTTATCTACCATAGGTAAAGGAGGGGCTGTGCCCTTGATTAAATTTAAACAACTCCAGGGATAGTGTGGAATTGCCAGGTCACACCTCACGCCCCACAATGATACTCGGGAACTGAACTTCTGCCTGACAACCAAACATATAGAGAATATTTGGGTATAAAGAATAAAGCCTGGCGCTTTCACTTTCTCTTAATATCATGTTTCTGAATACACATTTTGCTTAATAGCAATTATGCCTTATTCCACATTATTTAACAGTAACACTCTTTTAAAAAAAAATCTAAATGGAATTAAAACTCTATACACTATTTCATAGCTTCCTTTTCTACTTATTATATACAGTTGACTAAATAAGATCTTCCCAAAAAGGGCCAGGTCCAAAAGGTCAGAATTTGCAAAAATGTTGGCACTAATGGGCTAACGTTAACAAAATGAGATTAACTGGTGGAGGGGACAGTTGTTAATCACACGGCTCTTAGAAGTGGCAAAAGAAGGAAACACGAAACTGGAAGAGATAAATGATGACCACAGCAGAGTCAACAAGATGCCTACACATCTGTGAAAACACCAGAAGGTGACATCTGAAAGCTGAAAAGGATAAGGAAGGGGATTCACTCCCAAGGCCGGCACTAAAAAGCAGCCGGGCAAAGAGCCTGATGTTAGCAGAGAAACACCTGTCACCTTCCAGCCTGCAGCATTTTCAGATACCACTGCTAACTCCACAGCAGACTGTTACAACGGAGAGCTGATGTCCTAACTTAGACACCTTTCCCCATCAGTATTTTAATTGAAATATCATTGTATTTTAATTGAAATATGACTGATTTCCTCCAAGAAAGCATGTCTGTCTGAAACCCAAATATGGCACTAAGAAAAGAGAATGTCTACTCAGGAAACATGACTACAAAAGAATATTGCAGGGCCCGGCGGCTTGGCCTAGCGGCTAAAGTCCTCGCCTTGAACACGCCTGGATCCCATATGGGCGCTGGTTCTGATCCCAGCAGCTCCACTTCCCATCCAGTTCCCTGCTTGTGGCCTGGAAAAGCAGTCGAGGATGGCCCAAGGCTTTGGGACCCTGCACCCGCGTGGGAGACCTGGAAGAAGTTCCTGGATCCTGGCTTTGAATCGGCATAGCATTGGCCATTGTGCTCACTTGGGGAGTGAATCATCGGACGGAAGATCTTCCTCTTTGTCTCTCCTCCTCTCTGTATATCTGACTTTCCAATAAATAAATAAATCTTTTTTTTTTTAAAGATTTATTTTTATTATTTTTTCATTGGAAAGACGGATATACAGAGAGGAGAGACAGAGAGGAAGATCTTCCATCCGATGATTCACTCCCCAAGTGAGCGCAACGGGCCGATACTATGCCGATCCGAAGCCAGGAGCCTCTTCGGGGCCTCCCACACGGGTGCAGGGTCCCAAAGCTTTGGGCCATCCTCGACTGCTTTCCCAGGCCACAGGCAGGGAGCTGGAAGGGAAGCGGGGCTGCCGGGATTAGAACCGGCGCCCATATGGGATCCCGGGCGTGCAAGGCGAGGACTTAACCACTTGCGCCACCGCGCCGGGCCCAATAAATAAATCTTAAAAAAAAAGAATATTGCAGCTAAATATGAGAAACTTGACTTAGAAACAACCTTCTTTAAACCTACATACAAGTGGTATTTACCAACTCCATCTAATGTAACTTTCTGCCTCCAATTACATATGCGTACAGAAAAATAAAGTCAGGATTTCTATTCTTCTAATAGTACTATGACTGCCTCTCCCAAGCTTGCTTGAACCATTCAGTCAGCAGGCTTCCTTCCGCTCTTTGATTGCTTTTCACTTCCTTCCTTTGAAGAATGTCTCCCCAGATGAGCTTTAAGGTCCTTTACCAAAACTCCCTTTGGGATCAGGATCCCTGATCTGGGCTGCTTTTCTTTTAACAATAGTAACTTTCCTCCACAGACCTATAAAGCACCAGGTGGTGGGATGGAAATAGCACTACCTTGGAGGCAGAAAATGTGGGGTCCTTCGGCCTTCATAGCTCTCCACAGATCAACAGCATCAACAGTAAAAGGAGCAGGCTAGACTCTAGCATTCGCTTCATCTGTTAAGTTCTACACTCACTTTAAAGTGCAGCACTAGGAACTTCAAATTTCTATCCCCTTCATAGGATGATGAAACTCTCAGTCCTTTAAAAAAAAACAGGCAAATCTTGTTCTTTTCTTCCTTTATTAATTCCGTGTGTGCGTGAGAGAGAGGGAAAGAGAGGGAGACAGAGACAGAGATAGAGAGACAGAAATAGCAGTTAATCTCACTCCCACCTGCTGGTTCATTACCCAACAGCCTGCAGCAGATCAGGGGTGCTGATGCCAGGAGCCAGGAACCCATTGCAGGTCTTCCACATTGGTGGAAGCTGGCATCAGAAGCTGCAGTCAGGGCGTGGACCCAGGACACTCAATGGCACCCAGGTGTCCTAATCTGGCTTAAACACAAAGCCAAATACCTGCCTCAAACATTAGTTCTTAACGAATTCATGTCAGTTTAGGGTCCACTGACTACACAACATTCTGCTACATTTTACAGAGAAATAAGTGGTTACGTACACATCAAGCATACTGTCTTAACACCATGATCTGAGAGTGTCCTTAAAAGATCTGGAGTAGCTGTCGTATATTGCCAGAAAGAACAGCAACAAACTATTCTACAGGCCTAAAATATTTTAAGCAGGAAGTCACACCCAAAAAGTTCTGAAAACAAAGTTTTTCCATAACTCTTTGGGTAGCAAAAATTAATCTGAACTGAACTCACCTGACTGCAAACACTAACCTGAACTAATGTGAGGTTACTAATAACCTATACTGCTAGACCCATCAGCATGATGATGGAGTGATGCCACTGCTCAAACAGGAAGTGTTAAGATCATACATGGTTTGTGCACCTGATTTCAAAGAGCAAAATAATAATAATAAGTTTCAAAACACACCCCTAAGTTTTTAAGCAAAAGACCAGGAAACTGTATTTAAGATCACAGGAATTCTCCAACTTTTAACTGCTTTATCCTTCACTTGTTTTCTTTCACGTACTTTTAACTGATTGCATCTTGGAGAGCACTCTAGGAAGTTGCATCACTTACACCAAAACACGTTACGGATGTTTTAATGATTTATTTTAAGGGTTATGATTTAGATTTATTCAAAAGGTTTTTTTAAAGCAAATTTATGATAAACATACATATATTGCCCAAATCAACTTGGCATGGAACATCTCAAATGCAGATACTCACTCGGTTCATGTTCCCAGTAAAAGGAGGAGGTGTGGGCTCTTTAATATAAGGCTGCTCATTTCATGAAGAAGAAAGACATGAATAAATGAGAGGGGTTTGATGGGCAGAACAGTTAGAACTTAGTAATTTGATAGAACAGGTGGGGAATAAAAGAAGGCTGTCTCAGAAATCTGTCCAGTGTCCATTGGTATTCTGGTGGTTC